TTTTAATCAGCGAAAAATTCTGCACAAGATAGGCTAGGTCCCGTTCCGAAACTCCGTGCCCACCTAAAAACGTCTCCTTGTTAGCCCTAAATGACCCCAATTTGGCCTCCCAAAGCAATTTGAAGCTCAAGTTAAGCTTAGCTTGAGCTTAAGCTTAAGCCTAGGCCTAAGCTAAGCTTGGTTAAAGCTAAGTTAAGCCTAGGTTTAAGCTAAAAACCAAGTAGCTTAAGCGGAGCGTCTCGTAACCCTTACTTCCAATTTTTGACTGCCCCCCCCCCTAACTGCATTAGCACCTCGAAAATATTTTTTTGCGTTTCTAAAATGTTGGGTCCTTGTCGGTCAAAACGATTCCAACTCAAGGCAAAAAATAGTAGAAAAAGGCGCACTTGGGGCTTTTGCACGGGTCACAACCATCGAGAAGGCCGGATGAGAAAATTTTTTTGTACATCTCCCGGGGACATAAATACAAGGGTCATCAGCTCAATAAAACATCAACACGATTCTTAATATAATTGCAGGTATTTTAGGGGTCGTCACCGTCGTCGGACGTGGTCGTGTCGCCATCATTCGCGGGAACCCGGAAACCCCATAGCGTCAGCCAGGTGGGGTAATGGCAAGAATTGCAGGGCTCTGTAAAAAACGGTTGCAAACGATTAGCGCGAATTTCTCGAACTTCTCGCATTCCCAAGAAGGATTTCGATAGATTGTCAAAAATAAGGGGAATTTTCAGAATATCTAAATCAGAATCTGCAAAAAGCAAACTCTCTAAATTTTAGAATCTTTAAATGTCAGAATCTCCAAATTCGGAATGGTAAGAGTTTACTCTTCGCCCCCCTCTCCCAGCGGGCAGTTCCAGAAAAATTTTTTGAATTCCACCAATCGGTAGCCCTAGATCCCAGCTACTATCCCCTGGCCGGGAATTGCGAAAAAATCAATATGAAAGTTTACAGGGTGGGCAGAAAAAAAAGTGCCTGGTTTGCACTGAAATATCTCGCTGGGGGAAACGAATCGGACCATCGTTACCTTGCCAGAATGCTTAAATATGCTGGGTATGAAGAATAAACACAAGTTGTTTTTTGTGATTTTTGACGACCCACTACTCGTTAAGAATTTTTGAACATTTTTGAAAAAATAGAAAACTTTGAAGAGGAAAATCATGGAACTTTTTGTGAGTTAGGGGGACATGTAGGGTATCAAAATGAAGCTCTTGGAATGCGCTATCAAATCAGTGGTAAAGATTATCGATCGGTTTAACTAGCCGTCAATAGGAGCCTTCGGAAAATCGGCACTTTTTGAAGGAATAATTCGAGATAAACTTTCTTTACCATCCGATCTTTCTGATATTTTGCAGTTAGCAATAAATAGATACCTGCTAACTTTTTGCATTAAGATGGTCAAAATCCCGATCAAAAAATTTTTTGGCACTTTGCCAAGTCAGCGGAATTTATAAGTTCTAGGCTCACATAGTTAAATTTATAATATGGTTATCTTTGGCAAACAGGATTACATCTAACGGGTAGGGGTCGGAATCTCGAAATTTCGGAATCTCGAAATTTCGGAATCTCGAAATTTCGGAATCTCGAAATTTCCGAATCTCGAAATTTCTGAATCTCGAAATTGCGGAATCTCGAAATTTCGGAATCTCGAAATTTCGGAATCTCGAAATTTCCGAATCTCGAAATTTCTGAATCTCGAAATTTCCGAATCTCGAAATTCCGGAAATATTAGCAGATTCCTGGAAGCAAAACTATTATGTATCCACATTTTTCAGATACAAATACAAGATTTCCGATAAAACGAAGAGTAGACCCTCTGAAAAAAGGCGTTTATCAACTCGTCGTTTCAAGGGCTTTCGGATGGTATGACTATCATCCCGATCCGACGCTTCTCCGTCGAGTTAGAGGGGGTCTACTTTTCGTTTTATCGGAAATCTTGGATTTGTATCTCAAAACTTTGGATACATAATAGTTTTGCTTCCAGGAATCTGCTAATATTTCCGGAATTTCGAGATTCGGAAATTTCGAGATTCCGAAATTTCGAGATTCAGAAATTTCGAGATTCGGAAATTTCGAGATTCCGAAATTTCGAGATTCCGAAATTTCGAGATTCCGAAATTTCGAGATTCCGACTATCACCCACATCTAACAAATAAAAAAAGTTACCGTGGCAAAGTGCTTTCTATGGTTAACTCGGAATCGTCCCTTCTGGAAAAGTGCCGATTTTCCGAAGGCTCCTATTGACGGCTAGTTAAACCGATCGATAATCTTTACCACTGATTTGATAGCGCATTCCAAGAGCTTCATTTTGATACCCTACATGTCCCCCTAACTCATAAAAAGTTCCATGATTTTCCTCTTCAAAGTTTTCTATTTTTTCAAAAATGTTCAAAAATTCTTAACGAGTAGTGGGTCGTCAAAAATCATAAAAAACAACTTGTGTTTATTCTTCATACCCAGCATATTTAAGCATTCTGGCAAGGTAACGATGGTCCGATTCGTTTCCCCCAGCGAGATATTTCAGTGCAAACCAGGCACTTTTTTTTCTGCCCACCCTGTATACAATTAAAAGGGTGTTTAACAGGCTACCCGAATTTTGCTTGTTTTTGCTAGAACTATTTGATTTTACATTATTTTTGGGTTGTGATCGAAACTCTTTGTATATTTTTGGTGCTCTATCGAAAAACTGGAAATGTCGAAAAACGACGAAAATATCCCAAATCAGCTTTTTAACTCTATTTTAGCTGTCATTTTTTTTTTGCTGTAGCTATTTTAAATTACAATATCGTCGAATGGCGTAAAAACTTAGTATCTTTTTTGATGTTCTATCGAATGGCGTCGAAAATTCCCGAAAAAATAGCGGAAATATTGAACATTTCGGGACCGATGGGCTGGAGGGGGGGTAAAAGTAAACCGTAGCTTTCGGAATCTCTAAATTTCCATGTGCAGAAAACCATACAAATCTCAAATTTGGCGAAGATACATTTAGATTTTCGGAACAAGGAAATTTAGAGATTCCGAAGTTTAGAGATTCTGACATTTAGAGATTCTAATCTTATCAGCCAATTCTTATCCGGGCTCCGCCATTGAGGGTTTTAATTACGGCCTCCAAAGCCCCGCCCTCCCCGGGCGGTAATTCCCGTACTTGCGGGGTGGCATGTAGCGCCGGAACAGCCGGGATTTTTCCGCAGAAGGTTGGTGGCTCGCCTGAAACGGGACAGTTGGTGTTTTTCTTCTATCTAACTGTATGTGAAAACAAGCCTGACGGACCGGGACCCGCCAATGGCCAGACCAAAAACCGATTATTAGTGACGGCGCCTTACCGAAACGATAATGAGCACGACTTGCAGGCCGGGACCCCATAGCGCGTGTTAATCTCTTGCATGCCTCCTTCCTCGCCGCATCGCACGCAGATGCCCTCCACCTAGAGCGCAGGCGTTTGTTCGAGGTGCCATGAAGTAAACCTTGGCGGCTGGAGGCTTGCCGCGTTTGGCTGCACCTGTCGCTGCTGGCTGAAAAAACTCTCTCTCTCTCTCTCTCTCTCTCTCTCTCTCTCTCTCTCTCTCTCTCTCTCTCTCTCTCTTTCTCTCTCTTTCTCTCTCTCTCCTCTCTGTCTCTTGCTCTCTCTCTCCTATCTGTCTCTCGCTCTCTCTCTCTCTCTCGCTCTCTCTCTCGCTCTCTCTCTCGCTCTCTCTTCCCGCTCTCTCTATCACTCTTTCACTCTCCCTCTCGCTCTCCCACTCTCTCTCTCTCGCTCTCTTTCTCTCTCTGTCTCTCTCTCTCCGTGTCTCACTCTCTCTGGCTCTGTCTCTGTCTCCCTCTCTCGCTCTCTCTCTCTCTCTAACTCGGTCCATCCTACCTTTTTGGTAGCGGGGCGGCCCACCTTCCCGCGTTGCGCCCTATTCTTCGCCGGTTGCTGCAAAAGCCGGTCAGAAATTTACCGTCGGTGGTAAAGCATCAAAAGCATAGACTTGGGCCGGAATTGGTTCCCCCCATGCGCGCCCTATTTTTGAAAAATTTTAGGTACATGACAAATTTGCCGCTTCGCGGCGGACGACTGGCGCGTGCTTTGTGTGTCTTTGCGGTTTACTTGCTTTTATGTTTACAAGCTGTTCGTTAGTGTGTTGGTATGCGGTCTTCACAGGGCCTTTATTCCAGTGTATCACATGTCCAAGAACTGGCCAATTAAACACGCAAGGGGAGTTGGGTCACAAAGATACAGGGAGACATGATCAATATTTGAGACGGTTGGGAGCGTAGCCCGGTGAAATCCGCCGCCGAGCATCGGGCGTCTTCTCACTATAAAACACGGGGTTGTAAATGAATGCGATCTACTTATTTGGGTCGGAATTTTCAGCCCCATTTAGATCACGTTATTTCGGGCTGAAGTCGAACCACTTAGCATAATTTTCAACGCTCTAAGCCGCCCCGCTAACCTTTGGTCCACTCTATAGCAGGGTCTGTTTCCTAAAGCGTAGATGGGATCCCCCTTGGGGCGAAGAGGGCCTACCCAGCCTGTCGGTGCATTGGTTTTGCGTTTGCTTCCCGCGCACAAGGCCCGGGTTCGACCCCCGGCTGTGACGCGAAGTTCTACTTTTTGATAAAAAACCGGGGTTTGGATGTTTTTTAATGGGGAGACCCAGTTTTGCGAGGCTTTCGTTTTTTAGCTTACAGTTTCCGAACAAATAGCGCACAAATGGGTTCCTTAGGATTTCCAGCGTGGTGGGGGAGGGGGGAGGGAATCAGCTTTTTCCTGGCGGCGCCGGTTCGCCTGGTAAAAATTTATATGCATTTTGGTACGTTTTTTTCGGAATGTTGGTCACTTTGGGTACCAAAAAATCAACTTTCGACCTAAAATTAAAGTTTAAATTACGGTTTTGTAAAGTTTTTATGCTTAGGAATAGTGAAAAACAATGTACTGTAGAAACGCATCAGCTATTTATGGAAAAATGTAGGCTTCGGCCGAAAAATGTTTTTTTTTAGCTAGAAAACTGGCAAACACACCTCTTTGTTAGCCGTCGCGTTCGAGTGGTCGGCAAAACCGGTGGGCGAGTTCAATGCCGAGGAACGAGCTGTCGAAGGATTGGGAGTGCTGAAAAACTCGGTCGCTCGACGAAAAACACGCCATGTTCCCAGAAAAATTCCTTACGCCGGCGGCGAGACGGCGGTGGTCGGGCTGCCGGTCGGCGGCGAGGTGGAGATGGCTGTGCGCAGATTCTAAAATGTGGTTATTCGCGAGAACATCTGGCTTGAGCCCCGTTAAAAATTTCGAGAAAATTCGTGACGACCAAAGGGAGGGAAAGTGACCTCAAAAAAAATTTCAGACGCGTTGTGACAGGTTTGCTAACAATGCGAACTATCATCCGGAAAAAAGCTACTTACAGAGTCAGCACACTCTTCGCCTGCACCAGAGACGACTAGCGGCATTGTCTTCTCGGATACCGGCGACGACGCCTATAAATTATTAGGTGGGGTGGAGTGGCTTAATCTAAACAATCCGAAAATCGCGGTTGAACCAATTAGCCGGTTAAAAAGTTTGAAAAGCCCCTCTAAAACTAACGTTTTTCGCCGGTGCAACGGCGGGTTTCGATGCATCGACAGCTGGTTTGATGCGCATCTGTAAAAGTTTAGATCAAGTCATTCCTTTCTAACCACCTCGGTGGCATCCGGCTCGATAGAAGACTCATCGATCCGAAGACGATCCGTGCCGGGCCGAAAAATGTTACGCGGTGTGATGAGCGGCTAAAAAAAGTAGTAAAGGCGGGAGAGAGAGAGAGAGAGAGAGAGAGAGCGAGAGAGAGGCAGCGAGAGAGAAGGGGAGTGAGAGGTGAGAGAGAGAGACAGAGAGAGAGAGAGAGAGAGAGAGAGAGAGAGAGAGGGAGGGAGAGCGAGAGAGAGGAGAGAGAGAGGGGAGAGAAGAGAGAGGAGAGAGACAGAGAGAGACAGAGAGAGAGACAGAGATACAGAGAGATATCAACGTCTACCTTCGGCAACTCCTCTCTTTCACGAGTAACCTGGTGAATTATTTGCTGCTGGGTCGGTGGCAGCGCCTCCACCTAGACATATGCATAGAGCGGCGCACAGCGACCGGTTCAACCTTTGCTTGTAGGTCATTGAGTAGCCGGCGATGGACGAGTACATGCTCGTGATGGTTGTTCACCTAAAAGCACAACCATCCACGAACCTGTCGCCAACCCCTCGCCCCCCACCCATCACTTATTCGCCGACGAAAAAGCGCACCGTTTCTTCGAAGGCCCCAATCTCATCCATCGACTTCTTGAGCCGGGACTTCTCCATTTCGAGTGACAATACGACGGAGTTGCGAGCTTTCTGGTAGCACTAAAAGCACGCTGGTTATAGTGTGGAGGGTGCTCCAAAACAGTCGCCTCATGCAGCGGTAAAAGCAAGAGGTCATGACCGGAATGGTTTCCATATAATCCCAAAGCTCTGAAAGCGCGAAAAAGCAGGTTTGTGTTGGTGAAAGACTGATAAATTGCCCAACATTAAGCGTTCTTATTTATTTTTTATAGCGTATTTTTTCTCATCGGCGTTTGAAAGAAGCTATGCAAAGTACGGTTTTGCCGGGAGCTTAGAAGGGGCCAGGGTAAAGCCGCGAAGCGTTTTGTCAACGCTGGCCGGCTTTTACACGACGCAAATTCCGAATCAAAACGGGCAACACATCGAATCGAACGGCTCCTTCCGAAGCGAGAGAAATATTAAAGAGAGGAGCCCCCAGTGAGTAATTCCCAACGGCCACATAGCGAAATATAGACCATTTTTGTACATTTTAGACAGTTTGTAAGTAAAATGGTTCAGTCACCTCCTTTTTTCAATAAAAACTTAATTTTAACGTCGAAAACAGCTCATTTTTGAAGATTTTATTGGGGTGCAGTCATCCCTAGGCCATTACGCACCTAATGATGTATCAAATGTGCCCAAGACTACTCCCCTTATTGAGGGGTTATGTTCATTTTTCCTAAAAATCCTTTTTCCTAAATTCATTTTTCCTAAAAATCATTTTTCCTAAAAATCATTTTTCCTAAAAGTCATTTTTCCTAAAAATCATTTTTCCTAAAAGTCATTTTTCCTAAAAATCATTTTTCCTAAAGTTCATTTTTCCTAAAATTTTTCATTCTATAGGGATGCGTAAAAATATCAAGAAATTCCAAATGCTATCATTCTTTAGCAGTATTTGTTTGCTTTGGTTATTAGTAGGCTTTTATCGAAAATCTTTCTTATTATCATTGATCCTTTTCACTTCCAATCACCCAAATCTAGGCTAAACGGGCAACTAAAATACTTCCTATGATCACTCTAGGGAGATCGGACCTTATTCTAAAAAATTTTCTATTTTCTCATGCATAGTACTAAAGAACTAGGCCTTTACGGTATTTAACCGGTTTTAGGAAAAATGAACTTTAGGAAAAATGATTTTTAGGAAAAATGATTTTTAGGAAAAATGAATTTAGGAAAAATGAATTTAGGAAAAATGATTTTTAGGAAAAATGACTCGAATTCCTTATTGAGATACTACTAGAACAACCTGACGGAAGTTGCATGCAAATGCACACAAACACACACAGACACTATTTTTTTTAATATATAGTAGGAATATAGTAGGATAGTAGCATTAAGAGCCATATAAAAACTAGGACTTATTTACATTAGGATATCGCAAAAACCAACTTTCCACAGCTCTTCAGAGGAGTTTGCTTGGAATTGTCTGGCCGTGTCAAGAGAATTTCTTTCCGAGTCCAGCCAGTCAGCACGTGAAAAATCAGGGGCCACGTTGTGTACGTCGATGAGGGCTTTCTGAAGATAAAGTTCTGGGTGATTCGCCTTTTGGCCTTTTTTCGGGCTATAAAAAAGCTCTTACAAGGAGTCGCTTTTAGGTGCTTTTGGGGTTTCGGGACGGGACCCAACTAGTTCGATATAGTAAAAAAAATTCTGAGCAACTTCCCCTTTTCAAAAAGTGCTGATCGATAAAAGTGGATTGGAAAATTTAATTTAATTAAAAATGTTCCGGGAGTGGCTAGTGCGTTGGCCTACGAAGTTTTTTTTTTATCTTTTGCCACAAGTTCGATGCTTATTTATCGTTAACGGTTAACCCTTTGCTTTTTTGCTAATTAAAATTTTATGCACCGATCACGGGTTCAAAAACCAAAAAGCAAAGGGTCAGCCAGCGCGAAGATTCGAACACGTGGCCAAAAATTTTTTAACGAAGTTGGTAGGCTGCCGCGCTACCAATACGCCAATGCAACCTGTAATGGAGGCCTTGGTGAAAGGTTATGAATGCTAGTCCCGAGAACGACGGGAACCGAGGAAATGGACCCGAGAACTAGAAAAAAGCGCAAACGTTAAATTAAATTTTCTAAAATTTCTTTATCGATCAGCACTTTTTGAAAACAGGATGTTGCTCAAAACTTTTTTCTCTATCAAACTAGCTAGGTCCCGTCCAGAAACTCCAAAAGCACCGAAAAGCGACTCCTTGTTAGCGGGTTTTTCGGCCCTCTATCGATTGGCGTTTTCAAAACATCGAAAATCTACAAAATTCGGCTTTTCCCCAGGTTATCCTATCTGCTGCTCATGGATTTTGGTCGATCTTTGTTTATTCGATAAAAAGTTTCAGTTACATTATTTGGGGCTGAAATTAACCTCATAGGACAGTTTTCGACGCTCTATCGAACGGAGTTTTCAAAATACCGAAAATTTGCGAAATCGAAAATTTGACTCCCACCCCGTCATCCCATGTGCTTTTACTAAATTTTTGTTTATTCTATAAAAGATTTCCATTACATTATTTCGGGCTGACATTAATTCGCTTAGCATATTTTTTGACGCTCTATCGAATGGCGGTTGCAAAATCCCACAGTGATTGCAAATTTTATAATAATGAGCGCCCAAAATCACCACCAAAAAGCTTGCTTACAATATTAGCTTGTTAGTTTTTTTGCTTGTCTGCCATTTGAAAGACTTTCGACCAAAATTTCAAACGCCACAAAAGCCAAAAATTATCTATCAGCGGGCTAAAAAAAATTGTTAGCGAGTTTTACACGTACCTGGCCACATTTTTATATCTTTAAACACAATCTCGGCCAATCGCGGTTACGCGGAATTAAGGAAGTGAGTCCACCTAGCACTGACTAGCCCGGCTAAATTCTATTTCGCCTCCCCTGCACCCGAATCTTCAAATTTCGACTCGATTATCTCTCCAAAAATGAAATTTGAAAAATGGCGGGTACCGAGCAGGAGGCGGCCGGCCTCGTTCCCTTCACAGGCTTTCCGCTCTCGAGCAGACGCTGGTCTGCTGCCAGCCACGTAAGTAATATCTAGGATGGACATTGAGAATGATGGACGGTTGAGGCTAACTTCTTTCTCTTCAGCCGCCGATCGGCGCATTAGCATGTCTGCCAGGGTGACCATCAGTACGACCTGAAAGTATGGTAAAAGGTTTCTGTTTCCTCGCTTACTGTAAAGTGTTTTTACTCAAGTTGGAGTTTCGATTCGGGACCAAGTGCATCTTGTGCAGTATTTTTTGCTGATTCCGAATCCGTTTTCCAAATTTGCTGCGGACTTTTATTTAAAAAGTCATTTTTGGTGCAAATTGGGCTTGAAAAGGCCAAAAACTCGCATTCTGGCCCACTATTCCCTCCTTGGTTCGATCGGGCCCATGGGCCCTGAAGGACGCGCTCACAGCCCCCCTTCCCAGTTGGCACCATGGTGCATTGGCAAAGTACTCGCTTGTCAAGCGCAGGGCGGCGGTTCAGATCCCCGCCCTGCATCGTTCTTTTTGCTTTTTGCATCAAAAAATCTAATTTTTTATCAAAAAGCTTGTTTAACTTTTAAGATGCTTGTCTAGCCAATCTCCAGCCAACTTCGAAGATGAAATTGATCAGGAAAATCGACAACGATAACGGTTCCTTGATTTTGGTGCAAAACACTATCATAATTGCTGTATAACTTTCAAAACAAAAGTCCGCAGCAAATTTGGAAGGCGGATTCGGAATCAGCGAAAAATTCTGCACAAGATGCACTTGGTCCCGAATCGAAACTCCAACTTGAGTAAAAACACTTTACAGTTAGCTTGATCCTAAGATCAAAATTGAAAACGTCCTTGAGGTGCCTTGGTCAGCCCTTTTTCGACGTAGTGCAAAAGCTTAGCCTTGATTTGAAAAATTTTATGTTTAGAAACATGGCACAGCAATGTGCAGACATATCCACTGTTTAGAAAAAAGTTCGTCTTTTTCCCTGACAAGGGAACTACGTAAGGTTAAGGTGGCGTTTTGGGATGGTACCCAGACTGGCATTTTTTAACCCATCGAATCACATCTGCCCGAATTGCATCCCATCGAAATTACGACTCATCGAAATTACAACTACTCGAAATGGTTTTTGTCAACCAAATTTTTTTCGGTCGAAGCCTAAATGTTTTTATAAATAACGGATGCGTTTCTAAATGGTTTTTAACTATTTCTAAGCATAAAAACTAAACAGATTTTTATTAAAAATTTAATTTTAGGTCGCGAAACGGATTTTTTTCGGCCAAGAATGACTAAAATTGGGCCGGGCAAAAATTAGTATTTTTTGAAAATTCGATTAGCTGACATTTCTATGGGTTGTAATTTCGATGAGTCGTAATTTCGATGAGTCGTAATTTCGATGGGATGTAATTCGATGGGATGCAATTTGATCAGATGTAATTCGATGGGATGATAGCAAATCACCCAGCCTATCTTGTGGATAATTTTTTGCTGATTCCGAACCTGTTTTCAATTTTCGCCAAATAGCGCCATTCTAAACAGCTGTAGCGATTTTAAGGTAATATTTCAGCCCGCGGGAACCAATCTGTCCCAATGCCCAACTTTTTACTTTAATAGTGCAGTCAATTTCTAATAGCCTATCTTGTAGAGAATTTTTGTTCTAATTTATATGGTATATTTGATTGGTGCGCTACTACCTATCGACGATCACTTACGGGGCTGTGAAATTGGCAGTTTTTCACAATTTCCCCTACCAAAACGGGGTCCATACCAAGTATCATCGATTCTTTCAATTTTTAACAATTTTTAGTTGAAAAGCCGATTCGATAGAGAAAAACGCTACGATGGCGATATCCACTTTTGAGAAAACAGCCGGGACGGGCAAAATAAATGGGCTTGAAGTTCGCAAATTCCAAAAAATGGAACTTTGAAACGCTCTATAGCTTTCTAAAACGAACTATTTGGCAAAAATTAAAGCCGGATTCGGAATCAGCAAAAAAATTCTGCACAAAATAGGCTAGGTCCCATGCCGAAACGCCACCTTAACATTACATGGTTCCCTTGTGATATCCTAAGGTGCCATTTATCTGTCCGTGCCACATCCACTCACCTCTCCGTAAAATTCAACCTGAGCCTTATGACCCATATACGTTGCGCGTGCCCACCGTCCGACAATCCGCCTTGAGGTTTCAACTGTTATGTCCATGTCGACCTGGAAAGGCATCCCTCACCAGGGAATGTTTTTCGCTGTGTGTGTGTGTGTGTGTGTGTGTGTGTGTGTGTGTGTGTGTGTGTGTGTGTGTGTGTGTGTGTGTGTGTGTGTGTGTGTGTGTGTGTGTGTGTGTGTGTGTGTGTGTGTGTGTGTGTGTGTGTGTGTGTGTGTGTGTGTGTGTGTGTGTGTGTGTGTGTGTGTGTGTGTGTGTGTGTGTGTGTGTGTGTGTGTGTGTGTGTGTGTGTGTGTGTGTGTGTGTGTGTGTGTGTGTGTGTGTGTGTGTGTGTGTGTGTGTGTGTGTGTGTGTGTGTGTGTGTGTGTGTGTGTGTGTGTGTGTGTGTGTGTGTGTGTGTGTGTGTGTGTGTGTGTGTGTGTGTGTGTGTGTGTGTGTGTGTGTGTGTGTGTGTGTGTGTGTGTGTGTGTGTGTGTGTGTGTGTGTGTGTGTGTGTGTGTGTGTGTGTGTGTGTGTGTGTGTGTGTGTGTGTGTGTGTGTGTGTGTGTGTGTGTGTGTGTGTGTGTGTGTGTGTGTGTGTGTGTGTGTGTGTGTGTGTGTGTGTGTGTGTGTGTGTGTGTGTGTGTGTGTGTGTGTGTGTGTGTGTGTGTGTGTGTGTGTGTGTGTGTGTGTGTGTGTGTGTGTGTGTGTGTGTGTGTGTGTGTGTGTGTGTGTGTGTGTGTGTGTGTGTGTGTGTGTGTGTGTGTGTGTGTGTGTGTGTGTGTGTGTGTGTGTGTGTGTGTGTGTGTGTGTGTGTGTGTGTGTGTGTGTGTGTGTGTGTGTGTGTGTGTGTGTGTGTGTGTGTGTGTGTGTGTGTGTGTGTGTGTGTGTGTGTGTGTGTGTGTGTGTGTGTGTGTGTGTGTGTGTGTGTGTGTGTGTGTGTGTGTGTGTGTGTGTGTGTGTGTGTGTGTGTGTGTGTGTGTGTGTGTGTGTGTGTGTGTGTGTGTGTGTGTGTGTGTGTGTGTGTGTGTGTGTGTGTGTGTGTGTGTGTGTGTGTGTGTGTGTGTGTGTGTGTGTGTGTGTGTGTGTGTGTGTGTGTGTGTGTGTGTGTGTGTGTGTGTGTGTGTGTGTGTGTGTGTGTGTGTGTGTGTGTGTGTGTGTGTGTGTGTGTGTGTGTGTGTGTGTGTGTGTGTGTGTGTGTGACATCCAACGAAACGTACCGTCAGAGCCCTCTCCTCAGAACCTTGTCTGGCCACTTCGATGGGCTCCAACTAAGTGACAAAGTTACTAAGATCGCAAATGGAACCGAGGGAGATGCTGATGTGGACAAGGATGCCGAGGAGCCAATTCGAGTGTTGATAGCCATCTGAAAATGAAATATGCTTCGGTGGATTATCACTAGTCACAGCCCCTTTAATTAGCTGAATGATCTGACTTTGCCGTCTGGCTGCTCCTCCTCTTGTGGCCTCGACTCGGTGTTCGATTTTTCATCACCGGATCCGGATGTAGCAGCCGATGTAGTTGCCAAAGATGTTGCGCGCGCCGTATCGATCGCCATCTGAAAATGAAATATGCTTCGGTGGATTATCACTAGTCACAGCCCCTTTAATTAGCTGAATGATCTGACCTGGCCTTCTGGCTGCTCCTCCTCTCGTGGCTTCGATTCGGTGGTCTCGTCAACGACACCGGATGCAGATGTAGTAGCTGAGGATGTTGCGCGCGCCGTATCGATCGCCATCTGAAAATGAAATATGCTTCGGTGGATTATCACTAGTCACAGCCGCTTTAATTAGCTGAATGATCTGACTTGTCCGTCTCGCTGTTGCTCCGCTCTTGGCTTCGACTCGGTGTTCGATCCTTCATCGAAACCGGATCCCGATGTTGCAGCCAATGTTGTAGCTGAAGATGTTGCGCGCACAAGGTTGATCGTCACCTGAAAATGAAATATGCTTCGGTGGATTATCACTAGTCACAGCCCCTTTAATTAGCTGAATGATCTGACTTGGCCGTCTCGCTGTTGCTCCGCTCTTGGCTTCGACTCGGTGTTCGATCCTTCATCGAAACCGGATCCCGATGTTGCAGCCAATGTTGTAGCTGAAGATGTTGCGCGCACAAGGTTGATCGTCACCTGAAAATGAAATATGCTTCGGTGGATTATCACTAGTCACAGCCCCTTTAATTAGCTGAATGATCTGACTTGGCCGTCTCGCTGTTGCTCCGCTCTTGGCTTCGACTCGGTGTTCGATCCTTCATCGAAACCGGATCCCGATGTTGCAGCCAATGTTGTAGCTGAAGATGTTGCGCGCACAAGGTTGATCGTCACCTGAAAATGAAATATGCTTCGGTGGATTATCACTAGTCACAGCCCCTTTAATTAGCTGAAGGATCTGACTTGTCCGTCTCGCTGTTGCTCCGCTCTTGGCTTCGACTCGGTGTTCGATCCTTCATCGAAACCGGATCCCGATGTTGCAGCCACTGTTGTAGCTGAAGATGTTGCGCGCACAAGGTTGATCGTCACCTGAAAATGAAATATGCTTCGGTGGATTATCACGAGTCACATCCCCTTTAATTAGCTGAATGATCTGACTTTGCCGTCTGGCTGCTCCTCATCTTGTGGCCTCGACTCGGTGTTCGATTTTTCATCACCGGATCCGGATGTAGCAGCCGATGTAGTTGCCAAAGATGTTGCGCGCGCCGTATCGATCGCCATCTGAAAATGAAATATGCTTCGGTGGATTATCACTAGTCACAGCCCCTTTAATTAGCTGAATGATCTGACTTGTCCGTCTCGCTGTTGCTCCGCTCTTGGCTTCGACTCGGTGTTCGATCCTTCATCGAAACCGGATCCCGATGTTGCAGCCAATGTTGTAGCTGAAGATGTTGCGCGCACAAGGTTGATCTTCACCTGAAAATGAAATATGCTTCGGTGGATTATCACTAGTCACAGCCTCTTTAATTAGCGGGATGATCTGACCGTATGCCCCACGCCCCGTCCTTTTTGGCTGACCCCTTTATAGTGATAGCGGTAATACTCTAGTTTACCCCCCCCCCCCAGCCGTAACTTTGCAGCCATACGTCCTATTAATGCGCGGAGTATCTCAAAATGTTTGCCGTGGTCGGGTTACTATAAAAAAGTTGTTTTCTGCGGCAAAAATTGCTAGAAATGTTTTTACAAGATTTTGAAAGTTGAAAAGATTAAGCCGCTGTGCTTCAGTGAACCAGGAGTCTAAACTCAAATATTTTTATTTTTCGCTATTTTTTGACTCAAAAGTACTGTAGGCTTATTCTACAGAGCAAGAGCTACATTTTGGTACCATTGACAGATCTGTATGTCAAAAGATAGCCGAGATACGAAAACTCACTTTGGAACAGCAAAAATTAACTAAAGAAAACCCAGACTTATAATTGTTATAAAAAACCAGCCGATTACAGCCGCGTCGCGGCTGTAATCGGCTGGCCTTCGGGCTACCTTCCATATTCTACACCACCACATTCCTTCCCTAACTTTATCAATATCCGTGCTGATGGCTCCAAATACGCCCCATAGCCGAAATCCCCTTAAAAAACTACTTAGATACGTTCCTGATGGCTACAGATACCCCCCATGGCTAAAATCCCCTTCAAAAACTACCTAAATACCTTCCTGATGGCTTCAGATACCCCCCATGGCTGAAATCCCCTTCAAAAACGACCTAAATACCTTCCTGATGGCTTCAGATACCCCCCATGGCTGAAATCCCCTTCAAAAACTACTTAGATACGTTCCTGATGGCTTTAGATACCCCCCATAGCTGAAATCCCCTTCAAAAACGACCTAAATACCTTCCTGATGGCTTCAGATACCCCCCATGGCTGAAATTCACTTCAAAAACTACTTAGATACGTTCCTGATGGCTACAGATACCCCCCATGGCTAAAATCCCCTTCAAAAACTACTTATATACGTTCCTGATGGCTTCAGATACCCCCCATGGCTGAAATCCCCTTCAAAAACTACTTAGATACGTTCCTGATGGCTTTAGATACCCCCCATAGCTGAAATCCCCTTCAAAAACGACCTAAATACCTTCCTGATGGCTTCAGATACCCCCCATGGCTGAAATCCACTTCAAAAACTACTTAGATACGTTCCTGATGGCTTTAGATACCCCCCATAGCTGAAATCCCCTTCAAAAACTACTTATATACGTTCCTGATGGCTTTAGATACCCCCCATAGCTGAAATCCCCTTCAAAAACTACTTAGATACGTTCCTGATGGCTTTAGATACCCCCCATAGCTGAAATCCCCTTCAAAAACTACTTAGATACCTTCCTGATGGCTACAGATACCCCCCATGGCTAAAATCCCCTTCAAAAACTACTTAGATACGTTCCTGATGGCTTTAGATACCCCCCATAGCTGAAATCCCCTTCAAAAACTACTTAGATACGTTCCTGATGGCTTTAGATACCCCCCATAGCTGAAATCCCCTTCAAAAACGACCTAAATACCTTCCTGATGGCTTCAGATACCCCCCATGGCTGAAATCCCCTTCAAAAACTACCTAAATACCTTCCTGATGGCTTTAGATACTTAAAATGATTTCAATACTGAATTAACATAAATAAAAAGTATTAAAAAGAATAAAAATAACTCAAAAAAAGGCATCTGGGCGCGGGAAGGGCCTTGGGGAAGAGAGGCGAAGAGAAAGGGGGCGTGGCCTCCCGGGGAGAGGGCCCCCACTCGTTTTATTAAGGCGCCACTTTCAAAGTTAATTTTAATAATTTAAACGAAAACTTTTTTATAATGTTTTGATCATTTAAGGGGTTTCTGACCGCGCTCTATCCGAATCCGAAGAGACCTAAGCTCTAGCTCCTTTCCCCTTCGAGTTATAGTTGGCTTCAGACAGACGGACAGACGGACACCACAGCAAAATTATTATAAAAAATTTTCTAACCATTTTGGATGTAAGGAAACAACTTTTGGGAAAATTTCACTTTACGGTATGGTCCCAAAATGTAAATTTTTTAACTGGAATCGGTGCAGCTCGATGAGTTTGTGCGTTTCCAGTTAAAAAAACGATTGGGAAACATTTCTGGACAAAGTTATAGGCTTTTGAAAATCGCGAGTTCACTTTACGGTATGTGAACAAAACCTCAATTTTTGAACAGGAAACGATAAAGCTCGATGAGATAAAGCGTTTTCAGTTGAAAAAACAATTAGGAAATTTAAATAAAGAAAGTTATGACGTTTCAAAGATATTTTTAGAACTTTAGGACTGTAGGCTACGCAACACTCCTGTCCCCGCATTCTAACGCGTGCGCTCTCTGCCAGCGCTTACGTACTTATCTAAAAGCATTTATAACTTTTAAAATTAGTATTTTAAGCATAGAATAGATAAATAACAGTTAGTTGTGGCCTCCAAAATTGTCAGGCAAGGCGGCCGTCGCTTCGGATGGGCTACCGCTCCACTCTTCCGAAATCGGGGCGCCTGTGCGCTGCGCGCTCCTCGGGCGCCCCGATTTCGAAACCCTGTACGAGCTCGCACCCATCCGAAGCGACTAGGCCCCGGGCGGCACGAAGCCTTATTTTTAGGCTAAACTAGGGTATTCAGCTAGCAAGCCCCTTGAAAAAGGCCAATTTTTTGGTCAATTTTCATAGTAATTTTCAAAAGCTAATAACTTTGTCCAGAAGCGTTTCCCAGTCGTTTTTTCAAATGAAAACGCACGAACTCGTCGGGATACATCGATCCCAGACGAAAAAATGACATTTTGAGAACATACCGTAAAGTGAAATTTAGCCCAACTTTTTTATAGTAATTCGACCACGGGGAACATTTTGAGATACTCGGCGCATTAATAGAACGTATGGCTGAAAAGTTACGGCTGGGGGGGGTAAACTAGAGTCAAGCCGTGATAGCACCCGAAACGAGCAAATGGCTAACCTGGCGCCGGGGCGGGTGGCCGTTTCTGGCCGTGAAGCGATTGACTGATCGATGCTTGTTAGGGGCCCGGCGCCGCGTGCATCCGAGTAACAGAATAAGATGGAGGATCGATACGATCAGGCATAGGCCCTGGGAAACCAGCATCACAGGGCTGGGAAAGTGAGTATTTCTACCCGCAGCGCTCGAAAAACATTGCGTCAGATTCTGATTCCGCAAAATTCTAAGTGTGTGGTGCTATGCATATTAGGAACCAATTTCAGCCATATCCCATTAGTCCTCAATCCCGACAGCGATAAACCCGACGGGATACCCCCGACAGGCAAAAATACCGACAGGCCAAAATCCAAGGGGTCCCGACCGGGCAAAATCCCGACATACAGAATCGCGACAGACGGAATCCCGACAGACGGAATCCCGACAGACGGAATCCCGGCAGGGCAAAATCCTGACATACAGAATCGCGACAGACGGAATCCCGGCAGGGCAAAATCCCGACATACAGAATCGCGACAGACGGAATCCCGACAGACGGAATCCCGACAGACGGAATCCCGGCAGGGCAAAATCCTGACATACAGAATCGCGACAGACGGAATCCCGGCAGGGCAAAATCCCGACATACAGAATCGCGACAGACGGAATCCCGACAGACGGAATCCCGACAGACGGAATGCCGGCCGGGAAAAATTCCGACAAACAGAATCCCGACATACACAATCCCGACCGATAGATTCCCGACGGGCGAAATCCCGAGAGGGCAAATTCTCGACAGCCAGAAATTCCGCATTTTAAAGCCATTGATGGGTAAAAAACCTGCAAAAAAGCATGTCGTGATCCTTGTTGTCGGGTTTTTGGTATTTTCCCATTTGGAACGGCGTTTGCACACGAAAACGCCGTCTTTTCTCTTAAGCGTATCTCCGTTGCATCTTTGCATGCGTATTTTGCATTATCGGTGGAAGGGGGACGACTTCTCCACACCCAATACAGCTAAACAACGAAGGTCCAGGGCGAAGGCCGGCTACGGCATAATTCAAATGACGTAGCGTCGTAACGAGTATCATATCGTACCACATCGTTTGCCAAAAATTTAGCATATAATAAATTCTCAGCAAAATAAAAGTTTTAACGTTTAATTTGTATTTTATCGTTTTTAGCGTACTTTTTTACCCAGGTCCCGAAATTTTGGTGTTTCCCGGATGAATTTCACCAAAATTTGCTTTTATCTCGAGAATCTGACGTCCTAGATAATAAACGAGCTCATTTTCAGAATCAGCACAAAAAAATAGTCTATTTTGGGTACCCTAGCAGGCCCGAATGTGGCAAAACAGCACGTAAATCCACAAGGTTGATGCGCGAAAATCGGGCCTTTTTCAGAACGAAAGATTTCATGGATCGAATTGGCCGTTTTTATGCTCAAAAAATCCGTGATAATTTGTTCCCTAAAATCAATCATGAAATGGTTAATGAAAAACGCGTTTTCAAGAGATTTTGCATTTTTTTTAAATTTTACTAGCATTTGCCGCCTCTTTTCGGAGCCCCCAGACCCGACCAAACCCTTTTACCCTAATGCCGTGACCCAATGACCGTAGCCCAGCCCCCTTTTGCCCTACGTAATCGCACCAGAAAATCCGCCCAGCGATAATACGACACAATCCGTTTACGAATTCCGTAATGAGTGTACTTGGACTTCGTTGCAGGTTTAAGTAAGGCTGTACCGGCTGTGTCTCGAAGGATTCCGTTTTCTATTCTAACCAGAGGCAGCGTTTCTGGACTTTTACCATTCCTAAACGCTAGAACTTCACAACTTTTGGTAACACAATGCGAAAAGCATCGATTTTTCGACCCAACATGACCGACTCAAACAAGTTTTAGTTAGTTGAAAGTTTTAGTTGAATCGACTCAAAAATTTTAGTTGAATCGACTCAAAAATTTTAGTTGAAGTTGTTTAACTGCGTTTCCATGCCAAATTTGTCACTTTGCTAAGAAAAGTATTAAGGCGTCCGCGACGCCGGGGCCTGCCGCGCGTTGCGTACCGCATTCCGCTTGAACCCATAAAGAATTCCGGCAAAAATATCCATAGCCCTGCCATGCCGGTCCCATTAAAGCCACCGTTTGTTCCGCCGCCACCCACTCACCCCGGCGTAAATAATTCGGCAGGTGTCTGGGCAGTTTGCGCCTGCCGTTGTTAGGAGTGCATTGTATTCTTGTCTTTCATCTAGTTCGGGTTTTTCAATGGACTACAAAACACGTTGCAACAAGGCAACCACTCTGAATTTTTATATATAGAAGCTATACTCTCTTCAATCCACCAATGGTCTCTGCTAGCTGCCCTTATTCACCAGTCCTGTCGTTTTTTCAAACAATCTTTGCTATCGTGCCACATGGGTTCTCTTATTGCGACAAAGCATCTCTGCTCGCCCCTCAGCTTCTTCACAGAGAATCTCTGCTGCCGCTGTCTTTTACTTTCCCAAGTATTCTCTGCTAGCCTGCCCATTGGGTTCTCTAGTTGGTTCAGTTCTGCTAGCTTGCGCTGTTACATCTTGCAGGTTTTTTCTCAAAGAATCTCTTCTAGCCCGCCTCTAAGCTATTTAGCTATTTTCTTAAAGAATCTCTGCTAGCCTGCCTCCTGCAAAGCACTACTAGGCGCTTGATGAATGCTCCGCCGCAGCCATTCGTTTACGCGCCCTAAATCAGGCGAATTGTGGGCCTGGGCGCTGTTGACGCTATTTTTCCTGAACTGGATTTTGTGGCAGAAGCGATGGATTGGCGGCTCTTGCGTTAAGGAGAGGAAATGGCAACCGAAATTACGGTTTTTCCGGATTTTTGGATTATTCCAACATAATTTCAGGGTTCTACAGTACAACCCAAGCTACTGTGTAATTCCCAAAATTTTTGGGACTTACTGTAACTCGACCGGGACTATTACGGCATTACTACACGCCACTTTGGATCAATTTGATAGGAATATGGAATCGCAGGTGAGAAAGAGACAGAGAGCGCGCGAGAGAGACAGAGAGCGCGCGAGAGAGACAGAGAGGAAGAGTGAGAGACAGAGAGAGAGAGAGAGAGAGAGAGAGAGAGAGAGAGATCGAAGCGAGAGAGCGCGTGAGAGCGAGCGAGAGAGCTACTGATGAGAGAGCGAGAGAGGCAGAGAAGGCAGAAAAGAGAAGGCAGAAAAAGGCAGAAGAGAAGGGAAGGCAGAAAAAGAAGGGAAAGAGAGACAGAGAGCGCGTGATAGAGAGAAACAGCGCGAAGGAGCTAGTGATGGGAGAGCGAGAGAGAGAGACAGTGAGAAAAAGAGAGAGAGAAAGCGCGAGACAGAAAGGGAGCGAGAGAGATGGAGAGGCAGAGCGAGAGAGAAAGAGAGAGAGAGAGAGAGAGAGAGAGAGAGAGAGAGAGCGAGAGAGTGAGAGAGCGAGAGAGAGGGAGGGAGAGAGATAGGGGAGAAAGAGAGCGAGAGAGAGTGAGATAGATAGAGAGAGAGAGAGAGAGAGAGCGAGAGAGTGAGAGAGCGAGAGAGAGGGAGGGAGAGAGATAGGAGAGAAAGAGAGCGAGAGAGAGTGAGATAGAAAGCTAGAGTAATACTGTTTAAGCTCTCCTCTTTCCCGTCCGGTTGTATCGAGATTTCGATCCTCGTCGACTCGCCGGAACCCACGAAAAATTTCCAGGAACTCACCCAATTCCAACTCATTGCAGAGCAAACGGTACGTCCCAACGAGCCCAAAAATTCGGTAAATTTCGTTAAAAGCTTTCAGGTCGCCCAGATCATACACGTGAACGGAATCGAGAACCTCTTGCTGCACTTTGTCTTCCAGATCCCGAAGGAGAATCCCGGGTTTAGGTACGGTGGTTTCCACACAGACACTGGGCTAGCTTGCCCCGCTCTGTTTTTCCTCTTTTTTCCTCAAGGCTTGGTGGTCCAGAACTTTCCGAAAGTATCTTGGTTAGATTACCCTCGGTTCATTTGTTTTTCCTAGAGAATCTCGGCTAGCTAGACAGCTGGAATTTTCCGGTTTTTGGAAACTCTGCTAAACTAAACTGCTCTTTTCCGAAATTCTCGAATTTCCTCAAATAATCTCTGTTCATGCGCCCTTTTCATAAAAATCTATGTTTAAGTATAAACAGACTGGTAACGAAGACAACGAGACCTTACAAGGAGACGTTTTTGAGTGTCGTCGGGACTTTGGCATGGGCAACCAAGCCTACCTTGTGCAGAATTTTACGCTGATTTCGAATATGGTAACCGTTTTTGCGGAATAGCCATTTCTCCAAAGTTATGAACGATTTTAACCTCAAAACAGCCGAAAATTGGCTACTTCTGATTGTCATAAAAGGCTTCGGAATAGGTTTCAGACAAAACCAGATAGTGCATCTTGTTCAGAAAAAAAATTCTCTATCAAATGTACCATCTTTTCAAAATCATTGAAAAGTTGTAAAAATTTGATAAATTGGGAGGTCCATAATTTTACAAAAATTTTCAAAATTCTAGAATTTTTGAGTTAAGTAGCTGATTTTATAGAGAATTTTTTCTGAAAAAGCTGTACTATCTGGTTTTGTCTAAAACCTATTCCGAGGCCTTTTATGACCATCGAAAGTAGCCGATTCTCGGCTGTTTTGAGGTTAAATCGTTCATAACTTTGGAGAAATGGCTATTCCGCAAAAACGGTTACCATATTCGAAATCAGCGTAAAATTCTGCACAAGGTAGGCTTAGTCTCATGCCAAAGTCCCGACGACACTCAAAAACGTCTCCTTGTTGGTGTACCTTTAAAGAAACGGTTAGCCCGAAAATCGACGCGCATTACGCGTAAACCCGGAGTATTGTCGAGACCTAGTTGGTGCACGGCGTCTATTTTATCACTTTCTGGCCCCAAAAAATTAGTGTACTGCTTTTAGTTGCCTCGACTACTCGCTCCAAAAGCCGAGCAATCCGCTTGAGTCGATGGGACAACTTTTGGAGTGGGATATTATCGAGCAGCCGGCATTAACGGACGATGATTTGTACCCGATTAATTTAATGCGAAATGTGGCTAGAATGGTATCGCGGGGGAAAGAGCGAGAGAGAGACAGAGAGAGAGGCAGAGAGAGAGGGACCGAGAAAGACATAGAGAGAGACAGAGAGAGAGAGCGAGAGAAAGAGAGTGAGAGGGAGAGATATCGATATACAGTGAGAGAGAGCTAGAGCGAGCGAGCAAGAGACAGCTAGAGATACAGTGAGAGAGAGCACTTCGTCTTGCCAGTCCTCCTAAAACGATCGCACCTTGTTTTCAGATGCTCCCAAAATACGCCCTAGCTACCGTAGTCGACGCCCATTTCCGATTTTCAACAGATTTCGTGCGAAACTCCCTACTAGCCATCGAAACAGCCCAGTAAAACTTAACAACAGAGCAAATTTTGGTTCTAGAACCCCACTAACCTCAATCTTTATCTATCCCAGCTTGGAGGGCCTCATGGATGCGGCGTGCGTTTTTTTTCTCGCGCATCGTAGGGAAATTGGTGTTTTAGGCTTCTTCTGCCGCTCACAAAGCCTGAATTAAAAGCTGGATTTGACCAGGGATCGGTGCAGCCGTTTATGACCTTGTTGAACACACAGGCACATCGATTGAAGGGTGGGTTTATCTCTCTCTCTCTCTCTCTCTGACCCTTTCTCGTCCAAACCACGATGTTTAGAACCTGACGCGTGGCTAGCGAATACTGACGTGGGATTTCAGCAAGCTGGGTAGGTGCTGGAACCTGAGAGAGAGAGAGAGAGAGAGAGAGAGAGAGAGAGAGAGAGAGAAAGTGATCTGACATTATATTCATTAATCCAAAACTTAGATACACTCACCAGGCCTACCAACCCCAGTTCATCTCCTTGAATACCGTACCTTTTCACAACGAAAATTTTCCATTCCAAATGTCGGACGGCGTACAGCAGGTTGGCGAACGGGAGTCTAGCAAGGATCATTTAGGACTGGAAGGGGCAGGCTAGCAGAGATCATTTGGGAATGGAAAGGGCAGGCTAGCAGAGATCATTTGGGAATGGAAGGGGCAGGCTAGCAGAGATCATTTGGGAATGGAAGGGGCAGGCTAGCAGAGATCATTTGGGAATGGAAGGGGCAGGCTAGCAGAGATCATTTTGGAATAGAAGGGGCAGGCTAGCGGAGAACATTTGGGAATGGAAGGGGCAGGCTAGCAGAGATCATTTGGGAATGGAAGGGGCAGGCTAGCAGAGATCATTTGGGAATGTAAGGGGCAGGCTAGCAGAGATCATTTGGGAATGGAAGGGGCAGGCTAGCAGAGATCATTTGGGAATGTAAGGGGCAGGCTAGCAGAGATCATTTGGGAATGGAAGGGGCAGGCTAGCAGAGATCATTTGGGAATGGAAGGGGCAGGCTAGCAGAGATCATTTGGGAATGGAAGGGGCAGGCTAGCAGAGATCATTTGGGAATGTAAGGGGCAGGCTAGCAGAGATCATTTGGGAATGTAAGGGGCAGGCTAGCAGAGATCATTTGGGAATGGAAGGGGCAGGCTAGCAGGCATCATTTTGTCACCTTCAGAACTGGGAGCTCTGCCGGGCAGGCTACGCATGTCTGATGCTGAACAACGCGTTTGCCATCCACCCAAACTACCGTAGCCCGGAAGAGAGTGATGCGGTAGTAAGGACGAAATATAGGATGCGGAATCGGTAAGCAGATTTCGGAAAAGGATGCAAGTCTCTCTCTCGCATCGCTCTCTCTCTCTCTCACTTTTTTCTTCGCCGCTCTCTGTTGTAGTTGTGGGTGAGGTAGACGAAAGGTTTATTCCAGGTAGAGGGCAGACCAAGCGGGTGGGGAAAGATACAGAACAATAAGGGGGAGCATCGACAAATGGGGGACAATAGAACCGGAAATGTAGCGTATGCTAATTAGGTATTCGGATCTGGGATGTAGTCCTCCAACATCTCCCTCCTTCAAAGATGAGCGCTGCGGACAGTCGGACTTGAACGAGTTGAACTTGAGGTGGCGATGACGGCTTGACTTGAGGTGCGGAACGAGTGTGGCACATCAGCATGGGACCATTGAACTTGTCGGTGATGTGGGTGCGCTTGACTTGTCGAGTGGAACACGAGCGTGGCGCATCAAAGTTGGAAGCGAACAGTCTTCTTTCGGTCGCGCTTGCCGTCGAGAATGGGTCCGAGGTTTTGCAACTCCTTGGACTTGACGTTTCGAGGGTGAACGTCTTCAGCTTGTCCGTTAGCAGTGGGTTGTCCTTGAGCACGTAAGTTGGTGCGATCCGATGACGCTTTGGTGGTGCGTCCAGGGGAGGCCTTCTTGTCCGGGATGGTACGATCCGATGACGTCTTCGTGGTGCGTCCAGGGGAGGTCTTCTTATCCGGGATGGTGTGGTGTTGAGCGGGGTGATGGGGAACACGGGGCACAGGTACATCAAGAGTGGGGGCGGGTACAACAGATGTGGTATCGGTGGCCATCGACATGTGGTTGGAATAGTCAAGAGGTGGACGAGCGTCCTGCACATTGACATCAGTACTGGGAAGATCGAATTCATCCAGAATATCGTGCAATACGTCTCGAACGTATCGACGACGCAGCTGATTGGCATGTCGGCGCCAAGAATCTCCAGAGGGAAGCTCAACCTCAAACAGAGACTTTCCAAGTAGCTTGGAAATACGCCCTTCGACCCAGGCTGGTTTGTTCGGCTTTCGATAGTCGCGAACCCAAACCGTGGCGTCGATCTCAAACGATCTCTTACGAGCACCGTGACGCCGGTTGTATTGCTCAACCATCGTCGTCTTCTCCTCTTTTTGAAGAACGACTTGGACATTGCCGTTGCTCGATGGAAGAGCCAAACGCGCAATAGGAGTAACAAGCTTTCTCCCGATAAACAATTCAGCCGGAGAGAACTGTTGTGGCGAAGAGGGGCATGGAATGGCCCGATACGTTCGCAAAAAAACTTGCAACGTTTCCGCATTCGTCGAACCAGCGGCTTTGCTCAGAGCGCGCTTAAAGGTATCGACGAAGCGTTCAGCCAAACCGTTCGATTGAGGGTGGAACGGAGGCGTGCGTACATGCTTTATGCCACGCTCCATACAGAACTCTTCGAACTCCTTCGAAGTGAATTGAGTCCCATTGTCCGAAACAAGCGTTTCCGGATCTCCGAACCTTGAGAAGATGTCTCTCAACTGGGCAATCGTCGTACGACTGGTGGCGACCTTACAATCGTGGATCTCTGGCCAACGAGAGTAGGCATCAACGAATACCAGGTACATTCTCCCGTCAATGGGACCTGCGTAGTCAATATGTACGCGTTCCATCGGACGATTGGGAATAGGCCAGGGGGTCAATTCACTTTTCACAGGCATCTTCTGCGCTTTCTGGCAGCCCTCGCATTCTCGGACAATGCGGTCGATGTCTGTATCCATGCCGATCCAATAGACATATTGTTTCGCAAGGAGTTTCATTCTGGTCTGGCCAGGATGTCCTTCGTGGAGCATTTTCAGGACTCGCGATTGAAGTCTCTTCGGGACGACAACTCGCTCTTTCAGGAATAGGCAACCCTTGTGAATTGATAAGTTGGAAACGAGACTTTTGAAGGCGTACAAAGACGAGCCTGGCAAACAGTCTGGGAAGTTTCCACTTTTCAGATATTCAATCACAGTGCCAAGATGGTAGTCCTGCTCCGTTTGTGATGCAATTTCCTTGTGCGAAATTGGAACTCGGCTCAGTTTTTCCTCAAAAACTGCTGATACGTCGATTTCTATCTGCGAAATAACGACGTCTTCGTCAGGTTCAGCTTTTGGCGGAATCAGACGGGAAAGCGCATCCGCTTGACCGAACTTGGTCGTGTTACGATATTCGATGGAGAAATCGTAGTTGTTCAACAACAAGCACCAACGCTGCAATCGATTTGCGGTGTGTTGCGGAATGCCTTTTTTCGACCCGTATATTGGCAAAAGGGGCTTGTGGTCCGTCAGGAGCACGAAACGCCTTCCATAGATGTATCGATGGAAGCGCCGAATCGCGAAAATGAGGGCCAAGCCTTCCTTTTCGATCTGGCTGTAGTTCTTCTCTGCCACACTCAATGCCCTGCTGGCATGCGCGATGGCCTTTTCTGACCCATCCGCAAATCTGTGAGTGATGACCGCCCCAAGACCCTGCTCACTGGCATCAGCGGCGACGACAATGGGTAACTTGGCGTCATAGTGACAGAGCAACAAGTCGGAGATGACAATCTCCTTGAGCGACTGGAAAGCCTTTTCGCAGTCCTCATGCCAGACAAACTTTTGTCCTTCCTTTTCAACTCGTCAAGCGGGGCGCGCATCTGCCGCATACGAGGAATGAATGACTGGTAAAATGATACCATGCCCAAAAAACTCTCAACTTCCTTGAGGCAGGTAGGAGATGGCATACTTGCTATCGCAGCCGTGCGTTGGCCATCCGGCCTTCGGCCTTGGGCATCAAGAATGAAGCCAAGATACTTCACCGAAGGCTGGCCGAACGAGCACTTTTCCATTTTGACGCGCAATCCGAACTCTTGGATTCGCTCAAACAAACGACGGACCCTGTCGTCATGCTCCTCCTGGTTCCGGCCGGTGATCAACAGATCATCCAGGTAGGCAGCGGTCCCGTCCAGGCCTGCGATCAAGTTATCCACGATCTTCTGGAATATTCCGGGTGCAGTTTTGACTCCGAATATCAGCCTTTGATATTGGAACAAGCCCTTATGAGTGTGGATTGTCAGGTATTCTTGGCTCTCAGCCTCAACCTCAATCTGTAGGTACGCATCTTTCAGATCAATCTGCGAAAAGATCTGTCCACCATTCAGCTTGGTGAAGATGTCTTCGGCGGTTGGGAGCGGATGATGGTAATCCTCCAACGCCTCATTCAAGCCTGTGGAGAAGTCACCACAAAGTCTCATGGTACCGTCCTTCTTCTTGACTGGTACGACGGGCGCGGCCCACTGACTGTAAGTGACCGGTTTGAGGACCGTCAACTGTACAAGTCGGTCGATTTCCTTTTCAATGGCAGCTTCCATTGAATACGCGACCCGTCGGAACGGTAGGAAAACTGGCTTTGCATCAGGCTTCAGCTGAAGCTCAGCCTTGGCCATTGTGCACAAGCCCAGTCCATCTTGGAAGACACTTGGGTACTTCAGGACCAGCTCCTTCTCGAGCATTGACTCTTTCAGTGCGACCTTGTTCACGCACAGCTCATCGAAGCACGAAGCGAACTGTGGCAACTGATTTATCCAATCAAGCCCCATCAATCTGATGTTCTTCGTGACAAAGCACTTGCCATGACCGACAATGCCTTTCACTTCGAAATTGGTATCGAAGCTTCCTTGCACTTCAATTGGACCGCCATTTGCAGCTCGTAATTGAATATTGGATGGAATCAGCTGGGGGCAGTTCAATTTGCGCCAAACAGCTTCATCGATGATGGTGACGGCTGCACCCGTATCCAATTGCAAAGTGAAGCGAACGCCTTCGATTGAGAGCTCGACGTCTTTCCGACTCGAGTCTATGGCATTGATATGAACAACCATGTTCACCTTCGGCTTCCAGTCTTTGGCTTGGTGATTTTTCGACTTTGAAAAATTAGCACCGCGAATATTGCCAGGGTCTGCGCGACACTCTCTTGCCCAGTGTCCGCTCTTTCCACAACGATTACAGTTGTCATTCCGCTTGTCTCGCGGGGACCGATCATTGGTTTCCGGTCGCGACGAGTAACCCTTGCTAGAGGTTGGCTCTCGCTCGCGTTTCCAATTCTTTCGGAAACCCGATTGCTGGTGAACCCGGTTCACGTTGGCATTTTGCATATTCTGCTCAACGACCATATCCATATTCAGGGAACTTTGCATATCGCATTCGCGTAGCAAATCGCTCAACTTGACACCATTCTTTGATTCCAGAATGTGCAACAGTCTCTTGCGGATCTCTCGATTTTCCTGATCGGAAAGTCCAGCAACGAATAAAAGACATTTCGTCTCATCCTCGTTCATCTCCTTGACACGACCAAGCTCGTACAGCTTGTTGACGCGTGCTGCGTAGGAGTGCATATCCTCGTCGGCTGCTTTGGCCACACGGAATGCCAGAAAACGTCGACTGAACTGCGAGATTTTCTCACCGAACATGTCTGTCAGCGACTTGATCATGTCGGGATATTTCACGGCAGACAATTCCGTTGGTCTTTCGTGATCCGCTAGGAGGCTATAGGTTTTGCCATCCAGCATACTGAGAACAAGGTGTTTCTTGTTATCCTCAGTGATGCGCGGTTCCGTGGAGACGAGGTTAACAAACCTCTCGTGCCACTTTTCGAACGTAAGCCCCAAACATGGGTCATACTCGAACCGAACGAGTCGTGAGCAAAGGGCGCTCAGCTCGACCGCATCCAGAGGCCGGAGATGGCTTGGACCTGCGGATTTACCCAGAGGGTCTTCGCTAACTGTGCCCATGTGCGTTTGGGTCTCAGCGCGGTAGGCCTCGAGCTGTGCCTCCATCTTCTTCTCACGCTCCTGTCCAGCAGCCATCATTTCCGTCATCTGCTTCAGCAGAGCCTTGATCTCGGGGTCGGCCATGTCTTCGAATCCTTGCTCGCCAGTTGTTGTAGTTGTGGGTGAGGTAGACGAAAGGTTTATTCCAGGTAGAGGGCAGACCAAGCGGGTGGGGAAAGATACAGAACAATAAGGGGGAGCATCGACAAATGGGGGACAATAGAACCGGAAATGTAGCGTATGCTAATTAGGTATTCGGATCTGGGATGTAGTCCTCCAACACTCTCTCTCTCTCTCTCTGTGTCTCTCTCTTTCTTGCAGACTACAAACCCTAGGTTTCAGCTACAAAAAGGCCCTTCGGCTCTTTGACGACTACATCGAAACGACCTACCCTAAAACCTATCAAATGTGCCCGAATTTCGGGACAGAAAAGGAGCCAAAACGGAAATTCCGGGTCGATACAAATGACAACTCAACGGAGCCGAGGAAACCGAAAATATCTTTGAAGCTCTACCTGAATGCGATAAGGACGGCGAGGAGGGAGCAGGTGGGGTGAGATAGAGATAGCGAGAGAGAGAGTGAGAGAGAGAGAGAGAGAGAGAGAGTGAGAGCGAGAGGCCGAGAGGACACGCCCCGAGAGATTTGGTTCCGTAACCGGTTTGGCACGAATAACAGCGTTGCGTGCGCCTCAGCTGTGTGAATGTGGTAGGGTTTAAAGTGACCGACAAGGCAAAACAAAAGATCTTTTGTAATATCCTATATGAAAATCTGGTCTAGACCTAGTTCAAGGGTATATTTCGGGGTGCGCGATCCCCTTAAAACCGAATTTCAGCTCCACAAAGCCAACGTCGAGAACGCCGAGGTTTTGGAAGAAGCTCGAGCCAAACGTGTGGCGCTCGATCGGCAGATTTGGGGCTTTGACCCCAGCAATTAGCAGCTCCGGATCCCGAATGGTACCCTGCAGGAACCGGAGCAGGTGGGAGGTGGTTTTCGTATTTTAGAACCAAGCTTTACACGCTTCTGTCAAATATCTTTTAAGGTACAGGGTGTCTCAAAAAAGTACCGGAAAACGTAAAAACGGAAAGTGTTGTTTTTCTCGCATTTCCGAGATCCTTCGATAGATACCTAAATCGCAAAAAATTGGACACTTCTGCGGCTCGCTAGAGCGAGGACCTTTTTTTGGGACACCCTGCATAGTTTACGGTATGAATTGAAAATTATGTTGCATAGAAAACCCCCTCAATATCATAAATTTATTCAGAAACCCCCGGCCCAGCGGCTCCCCGAGGTGATCGAGGAGCAGCCGGGGCAGCTGGGGACGTGAGACCAGTTGGACGGGGATTTACATGGCGTAATCGATTGAGCTGCATAAATATGGTTACGACATGAAAAGGCAGGCAGGCGGTCGGCAAAATACACAAATGAAAAGATTTTAACTTCATTAATTAGGAGGAAATGGTTCATCGAAAGCAGGGTATGATAAAGATAGGTTTTGGGCGGAAAATAAACGCAGAAAACGGGAGGGTGTATCTGTCGAGACCTAGGGATTGGACGGGGTCGATTTTCGGGATTTCATGTTTTATTCGCAAATATTTCGATCCGCTCGGCAGTCGGCTCCCTGGGCGGCCATGAAGAGACGGCCTAAAAATTGTCATTTTTGAGAGAGAGAGAGAGAGTGAGAGAGAGGGAGAGAGAAAGAGAGACGCTTTCAGCTTACCATTAGTGCACACGCATAGCTGATTATGCGGATTTCCACGGCCCGACGATTTGATCATCCCGTTCATGTAGATATTCGACGAGTCGAGCCGGATCTCACCCTGTAAAACTAGAATTTTTTCTGCCAATGATCTCTGCTAGCCTGCCCCTTCCATTCCCAAATGATCTCTGCTAGCCTGCCCCTTCCATTCCCAAATGATCTCTGCTAGCCTGCCCCTTCCATTCCCAAATGATCTCTGCTAGCCTGCCCCTTCCATTCCCAAATGATCTCTGCTAGCTGACCTGCTTGCTGACGATGTTCACGTCGAGGAGGCTTTGAAGGTGGATTTCTCCGGCCGACGAGAGCATTTCGATGTCTTGTCCGGCTTCGACGAGTACGGTACGTGTCGGGGACTCCAGCCTAGAATCCAGCTCCACGAGATTCCTATTGACGCTACCGTAGCGGGGTGTCCGTTTCGGGGCGGATGAATGCCGTCTGGATGGCGCCCTCAAACACGCTGCCGCCGTCGTCTGAAAAAAACATAGATAAGGACAACTTAGGTACAAAAATGGCTACCGTACTTGTTTGAAATTACGAGTTTTTAGTGTTCCGATTATTGGAGGCTTTTATATGAAAAATTGGGTCATTCAGACAGTTTCTGGATAGCTAAAAACCCACCCAAAATCCTCAGATTCTCCAATTTTAGGCCGATCTCGTCCTTATCCGCAAAGAAGAGCTGCTTGTTGTTGTTGTCGTAGATTTCGAAGCGTTCACAGGTGGCAGTGACCCTAAAAGAGGTAATCTCTCTAACCCCCGCTCTCTGGCTCTCGCTCTCTCTCTTCCTTTCTCTCTCTCTCTCTCTCTCTCTCGCTTACTTTCCATCGGGTCCCAAAGCGAAGATACTAGCCGGATGCCCAGTCATATTTCGGGCTTGTAGCGTCACAGCTTTCGGAGAATCGATCAGGAGGGCTTCATCCTAAAATTCAGTGTTGCCAGCTTCTTGCTAAAGGGACTTCGAAGCAGTCGAATCGACCCCTACGATCGACCAGGTCTAGACAGTTACCCTGTACAAAAGAATCACGTGTCAAACCCATTTTTTATGGGCGTTTAGGAAGCGATTTTGCTGGGCTGGGTGGCTGTCTAGACCTAGTGGATCCTGGGGGTGGATTATCGCGCTTTAGAGTGCTTTCGATTTCTGCAAAAAATGCATAATTTACTCTAGCCGTCGATAGGTGTGATAAGTGAATGGGTCTGTCGAACTGTGCCCGGCCCTTCACTCGAATTCCATCGTTTTCTATCCGGAGCGCGCCCATGCCGTCCTAGAAATAGAGAATTTGCAAAAAATGCAACGTCACTTCTTCAGGAATTGTCAAAAAAGCTTTAAAATTAATTAAAAATTTACTGACCCTCGAGAAATCCAACACCGACATAATCCAAAGCGTCAAGCACAGATTGACGAGAATTAAAATAGCCAGTACGACGATGAACACGTAGAGACATCGCTTTCGCCAGCCGTAGATGCCCACTCTAAGATGCGCAATACAGTATAAACTTTAGGACGAAAGTGTGGCGTATCATTCATCAACTATAATAATTTTGCTGTTGTCTCGGTCAGAAGCCGGATTCAACTCGAATGGGGAAAGGAGCTAGAGCTTAGGTCTCTTCGGATTCGGAGAGAGCGTGGCCAGATACCCCCAACCCGATTAAGAACAGAATTTAAAAACTTCATTTTCATAGTTAAAAATAGATTTTTGTAATTTGGTAGTAAAACGGCTATTTGCACGTTTTTGGGCATAGTGGGCCAGGTGGCGCGCGTTTCGGCGAGGGGGAGGGAGCGTAGGGGGTAGCACGAAGTTTAGCCACTGTAAGCGGCTGGTATAGAAGAAAAATACCTATACAAATCCGCATCATTCGTGGGTTTATGCGTGGAGTGGACTACTGTTGTTTGAAATGGTTGCTAAACGCGGTTAAATCGTTTGCCCGAAAACAAGCTCCTCACATTTCCGCCGGCATACGACGCTTGCTGGACGAATGGCGAGCTGGAAACTTGCGGTCCTGAAATGGCGCTATATAAATGGTAGCAAGTCTGAAAAATCACAATAAAAAAAGTTGTTGTTTCGTCGCTTAAATTTAATTATTCTGACCTGTAGAGTGGCCCCTCGTCCACACCGACTCGTCCTGCACCCCGTACATCGGGTAGCGGCTCATTTTTGAGCCAAAATTGCCGGATTCTGAAAAAATTTTGAGGAAATATTATAAGATTTCAGCGGATTAGGAAAACCACCGAAATATCTGGAAAAAGGCCCCATTTCCGGCAAGCAGAAAAAGGCAGCTGGCGCAAGATAAAAGCTAAAAAAATCAATTCCGGGCCCATTTTGGTACGAAAAATCCCGTCAAAGGACAGCAGCAGAAGCCAAAAAAACGGGAGAAAATTGGGGCAAACAACTGCTTTATTGAGTTTTAAAGTTAATTCTTGCAATTATGGAACGATAACTTTGTTATTTAACAATGTAACCAACTTTAATAGTGTCTCACAGAGAATTTCCACAATTATGCCAAAAAAAAACAATAAAACCTTTTAACATTTTCGAAAAATGTCGATTTTTGGCCAAAAAGTCGGGCTTGTAAATGGTTTAACAGTTTGGGGAATTGGGTTTTAGGCGAAGTGGCCGGAATTTCTTATAGCCGCTAGACTACAACGTCTCCAACTTGAACGTTGTAAGCGTAAAAATAGTAGAATGGGTATTATAAACCTCCGAAAAATTTCCAGCCATTAATGCGCTGTTTTCTAGCCGAAACATTGCTCATAAGAAGCACAATCAAAAACCCTAGCTATGGATCGACTTGGCAGATCCGGGAAATGGGCCCTGGGCCCTAAGGGGGAGAGAGAGAGAGCAGAGGACCAGTGTGTGTGAGTGTGGCCCTTTGGCCCCGTCTTTGTAGTGTAATGTAGGGCACGCCAAAACCCAACCGGCCACACGGGGTAAATTGGGGTCATCATCTTGGGGAGGCTGGAACGGGTCAAAATTGACAATTAGCAAAGTTGACTTTGGAAATGGGTTTCCACAATAGTCTTTGCACGTTGCTACGCTTCCACAGGAATCTCTGCTAGCCTGCCACTTCCGTAAAGAAAATGCTAGGTTTCCCGCGGAATTACAAAGTTTTTGCCGCATTTTCGAAGTAAATACCCTGGTTAAATGTTTTCCTAAACAATCTCTGCTAGCTTGCCTTGCGTTGATTCGATTTCCCCAACAATCTTTGCCTGTTCTGGAATTTCCTTCAGGATCCCTGCTAGTTCGCCGGTTTCCCAAAGAATACCTGCTATTTCTTCCATTTCCACACGGGTTTCTGCTAGTTCTTCTGTTTCCACAAGAATCTCTGCTAGCGCACCTTTTCCTCAAGAATCTCCGCTAGTTCACCCGGTTTGTCAAAAACCCTGCTAGGTCGCCCAGTTCCTCAAGAATCTTTGTTAGTTCACCTGTTTTCTCAAAAACCTCAGTTAGTTTACTAACTCACGTCGCAAGCCTCACGTTTTTATGGTTTGACATTGCACTGAGTATTTGTAGTCCACGGGTTTGCAGTCCCTATTGTTCGATATCCCAAGGAATTTCTGCTAGCCGACCAATTTCCTCAAGAATCCTTGCTACCTAGCCCTAACGCGGAGCCTTTTTTCCTCTGACCGATTTCCTCGAGAATCGCTGCCATTCACTTAAAATTTCCTCAATGGTTTGTAGTTGAAAATCGTAGCTGGTAGTTGTTGTCTGCAGTACTACAGTGTACTCTGTAGTCTATGGCGTTAGTTTGTATTCCATAGCTTGCACCCTGAATAGCGTACCACTTTCTGATGCTTTGTAGTTTGTAGCAGTACTTTCACCGTATTGCATTTTATAGCCTATCTTCTGCAATTTTCCGTACACTGTCGATAGTAACAAAACGGAATAATCTGAATTCTTTATATACCCAAATAATCATCGTCAACGAACGAACGAACGCGGAAAGAAAAATACTCGAATGCGGCGGAGTTGGGGGTGGAAACACGAACAACGAGAAAAACTGGGCGGCTGGAAAGAGGCAATGATCGGAAATATCAAATTGTAAAAATATCAAAAACAGAAAAAATTACACGATAAATCCAACTGTACATTGTACAGTCGCGGAAAAGTACGTAGCAATACGGTACAGTATCCAGAAATGCCCTGAAAATCCGGCAGAAGTCGAAAATCGGCCAAAATACCGTATTTTAAGTGCCGTTTCGGGGAAAGAATTTCGGGGCTTAAAAATTTGTTAAAATTGAAAAGTACGGTACAAAGTGTACGGTATTTAAATATGTAAATTACACGCACAAAAACGCATCAAAAAAATTCGAAATTCCGCAAAAAAATGAAAAATTATACCCGTTTTGGTGAGGAGGAGGGTGGGGAGGGAGAGTACTGTAGGCGAGGCTTTTTCGGGGATTTGTTGGGTTACGGTACCTTTAAAATCGCCATTTAGAGCATGATATTGAAAGTCTACAGTATCCAGCGTCCGAAAAAGTGCAATTTTTCAAAAAAAAAATCCGTTTTTCATTTTTAAAAATTTAAAGAAATGATTTTTAGACGTTTAAAGGTACCGTAATTCGACAGGCTACAGTAGGATTCGTGGGGGCGGGGGGTCGCAAGGCAAATTTGTTATTCACTTTTTTGAAGTGTGGTGAGGAGGCTACGGTAAGGCACAGACACGCATCGTCTTGAGGGGTACGGTAGTCGGGCTGGGGGTACGGTATCCGGGGCGCGAATTAGCGTATTTTGGGGGTATGATACTGGGGATGGGGCTACGGTGTTTGGCGCGTAGTATAAGGCTACGGTAGAGGGGCGGGATACGGTATCCGAGATGGGGTAGCCGGGGCATAAATTAGCATAATTTGTGAAAGTGGGGTAAAGTATCAAGGGGTATTACGGTAGCCAAATTTGGGTCAAAAAACGGTGCCTGAGAGCGTCATTTGGAAAATCGCGTACGGTAGTGTGGTGGAAAGAAACAAAAAACGTAAATTGAAAAATACGAAAAATCAGTATCGCGAGGCTGGCTGGGGGACCCGGGGTTTGGAAGCGTGTTTTTTTGTAAACGGGGGAATACGGTAAAAAAATCAAAAATTCGATTCTAGGAAAAGTTTTTCTGGGTTTAAATTTATATAATTTGCACACGGAGAGCTGTAAAAAATTCGAGTGTACATCTGGCGAACTAGAATTTGGATATCGCGATTTTGGGGGAGCGGTGGTCACAGTAGTCTTGGAGTAGTCTATATTCTGCAGTTTGTAGTGGCAGGCTGCGTAGTGGTAGTTTGTAACCTGTAGTTTGTGAGGCTATTGATGGCGGAAGCCTTCGCTCTGGAGTCGGCGCATCATTTCGGAGGTGATTTGTGGGTTCATGCCTGAAAAAAGGGGTTGAAAAATGAAGGACGTTAACGCGAGAGAGCGAGAGAGAGAGAGAGAGAGGGAGAGAGGGAGAGAGAGAGAGAGAGAGAGAAGAGAGAGAGCGAACGAGAGCGAGAGAGATCGAGATATTGAGAGAAAGAGAGACAGACAGACAGAGAAACATATAGAAATCGAGAGAGAGAGAGAGAGAGAGAGAGAGAGAGAGAGAAAGAGAAAGAGACGGGAGAGAGAGGTGAGTGAGTGAGGGAGACTAATGGAAATCGGGAGAGATAGATACAGATAAAAAGCAAGATTTAGACAGAGAAATAGAGAGACCGGCAGACCGAAAAAAGCGATTGATAGAAAGAGAGAGAGAGAGAGAGAGAGAGAGAGAGAGAGAGAAGGGGAGGGAGAGGGAGAGAGAGATTCAAAATCCTCACCAAGTTGGGCCATGAGCATTTGTTGTTGCATTGCTTGTTGCTGCATGGCGGCCTGTTGTTGAGCAGCTACCTAAAAATATGCCATAAACGTACTATAAACAGACGAATTTACAATTATTACAAAATCTACACCTTTTTAATTTTGCATAATTTTCGGATCAGCTACATTTACCGAATTAAAAAATCACGTTTAATACAAAATCAGAAAAAATAGCAGGAGGAAGGAGAGCAAAAAAATTTTTAGCAAAATCCCTCACCTCCGCCTGGCGCATCATCATCATCTGCACTTCCGGTGGTATCGGAATTCCGGGTGGGAATCCGAACTGTGCGGCCATCGCGGCCAGCGTGTTCTGCTGGGCCTGCTGGGCTTGAGCCTGAGCTTGAGCCTGGGCCTGTTGCTGGGCCTGCTGCTGTGCTTGCTGGGCTGCTTGCTGGGCTTGCTGCTCGGCCTGCTGGCGGGCCTGCTGCTCCTGGCGCTCGCGGTTTTCTCGCTCTCGCTGGGCCTGGGCTTGGGCTTGGGCTTGAGCTTGGGCCTGCGCCTGGGCCTGGGCTTGAGCTTGGGCTTGAGCCTGAGCTTGAGCTTGAGCCTGGGCTTGAGCTTGTTGGGCTTGGTGTTGATGCTGCAAAAGTAGATTCTAGAATTGCGGTTCCATAGGGATTGTAAAATTTTAAATGCTAAAATTTTAGCCACAGTACCCTAGTGAAACCTCAGAAAAATGGAAAATTCATTTTCAAATTTAAATCTAATGAATTTAATGAACAATTTTAAAATTTTAGTTGATAGATTTAAAAAAACATTTCAAATTTAATTGTTTAAATTTTTAATAAATTTATTTACAAACGTATAATTCCATACCATTAATGCTTCGATTTGCAACCGCTGCATGGCGGCCGGATCTTGCATAGCCGCCGCCAAATGGGCCATTTCCATGGGGTTGGGCTGCTGGCCGTGCATCCCCGGCATACCGCCCCGGCCTTGCATTTGCATCATGCGAAGGAGCGCCTGGAAAATGGGGTTAAAATGAATAAATTTTATTAAAAATAGCCGAAAAAAGGTTAAAACCGTTTGAAGCGCCAAAATCAACGTCATTTAAAGCGCCGGGTAGCTTTCTAGATCTAGTCAACATCAGGGGTCGATTTTCACATTTCCCAACCCCTTTAAACCCCAGGAAAAGACCCGCTAGGCGCCACATACGGAAACGTATCAATTTCTGTTTGATAACGGCAGGTTCTAGCAAAACTTCGCATCCGGTTGTATACGTAATTTGGCGCGGCGCGTCGCTGTCTAGACCTAGTGCCCGCCGGGGGTCGATTCTCGCTCGCTTCCAAGTCCCTTTCATTCGCAAAAAAGCTCCACTAACCTGCTGCTGGTTCATCGCCTGACTCGCTTGCTGCACGTGCTCCATCGTAGCCTGGTGTAGGGCCAATTGCTGGGCCATCGGCATGCCGGGCATTCCGGGGAACCCGCCGGGGAAGTGGATCGGCTGCATTCCGGCCGGGATTCCGGGGGCCTGGTTCATCGGGTTGACCCCTCCGGACATACTTCGCGCAGCATGGGCAGCCGCCCCGTTGAGCATCTCCGAAAACGAGGGCGTGGCCGAGACGGACACGGGCTGGGGCTCTTTCTTGGGTTGAGGGGTGGCGAGTTTTGGCTTTTCCTTCTCGAGCTTGATGGCTTCGCGGCCGCGGTCCCAGTCGGAGCCCGGCTGGAATGGGGTGAATGGAAAGATGTAAAAAACCACAAACACGTATTTTTTAGTTTGTCGAAAATGGCGAAATAAATAGTTTCGAGGGAAGATAACGTCGAAATTTATGAATGTCGAAATTCAATAATGTCGGACTTTCATATTTTCCGATTTCATAATGCCGAACTTCACCATGTGGAAATTTCAGAACAACGAATTTTCAAAATGTCGAAATCCTTTAACGTCGAAATTCCATAAATCAAAATTTCGTCAAAATTTACACGAAAAAATCTCCTTAATACTATGCAAAAATGCGAAATTACGAAATTTCGATATTGTGCATTTCGGCATTATGAATTTCCGAGATTCCACAGCTCGATCCAGCTAGCGTAACCCATAAAACCCTCATAATCTCTCAAAACCCACCAAATTCCTGTACATCAAGTCGGTCCTCGCCGCCCGTTGCCCGTCACTCCACTTTTGATGCAGCAAAAATTCGCAGTTTTTGGAGGTAAACGCCACCTAAACGATGAAAAGGTTGGAAAATACACTTTTCCATACCGTATCCGTAATTAAGGCCGTTTCCGGTTTATCCGGTATGTACACATTGCCATCCTCGTCCGCTTCATAGCCACCTTCGGGGGTACCCGTTCGAGTATCGGCCGCGTGGCCATTGCCATTGATAAGAGGGCCGGCGGATGTGGGGGAGGAGGCTTCATCTTGGCCCGGCTGAAAAAAGGGATATAGCGAGAGCGAGAGAGCGACAGAGACAGAGAGAGCGAGAGAGAGAGAGAGAGAGAGAGAGAGAGAGAGACAGAGAGAGGAGTGAGAGGAATAGAGCGGGAGTGGTAGCAAACTCGTCGTGGTTTCTTCGTCGACCTCTGCTAGTCTGCCAGGAGCAGTCGCAGAGAGCGAGAAAGCATGAGAAAGTCAGAGGGTGTCTGAGCGAGAGAAAGAGAGAGAGAGAGAGCGCGGGAAAGAGAGAGCGAGAAAGCGAGCCCAAAAATTCTATAACTTACCTCTGTCTTAACCGGCAACAACGGGTCGATCTCCCCATCAACATCAGTTTTTGGAGCTACAGCGGCCGTAGACGGGGATGGAACGGCGGCAGGTCCATTCTGTACAGAGGAGCAAGACGGAGTGACCGAGCATGAAGAGAGGCTCGAAGACGAGGATGGCGAGGGCTTCTAAAAGTGAGAAATCAGCATCAAGACGTTCAGCTTCCGCTTACTTCATCATTCTCCTCCTTAGCCTCGTGTTTCACGTCGACGTCCATCTTCGGAGCGACGTCGTCGTCCTCCTCCTCCTTGATCTTCTTTTTCAGCGTGCCGTTCGGGTTGACGGCCGCGCTGCGTTTTCGCTTGCCGTTTTTGTGCAGGGGTTTCTTCTCAAGGTCAAACTGAAAATTTTTTTTTGATATTTTTGATAGATTTTAAAGAGAGAGAGAGAGAGAGAGAGAGAGAGAGAGCGAGGAAGAGAGAGAGAGAGAACAAGAGAGAGAGAGAGAGAGAGAGAGAGAGAGAACGATCGTTACATAAAGACTTACCTCATGAATACTCTGCGCTTGCGAAGGGCTTCTCCTCTCGCTGTCTCCCATACTCGGCGATCTTCTCCTTGCGTTTCCGGCCTTGCCAGCCCTCGTCCTCACGCCAAAGTCCTCCTGCAGATCGTCCTCGTTCTTGAACAACTCGGGCGGGACGGTAGCCGGTCGGTCGACGGGTCGGAGTTGGCCGTACTTCTTGAAGAAAACGCGGCACGGGGTGCAGAGCAGGAGGTTGGAACGGCCGGCGTGATGCCAGTCGCGGGATTCTGGAAAAGGTGGTAATTAAAATCTGTAATTAAAAATCACGAATATCGTCTGATATTCATGGAGTAATAATCGAATCGATAAATTCCATAAAAAGAGCCTAAAAATCTCAAGTTACAGAATTTACAAATCCCAGACCCGCAAAGTAGCTTATTTAGGTGGAGGGCAGGCTAGCAGCGGTCTTTTAGGAACCAAAAAAACGATAAGTAAAGGATAAAACCTTGCATTTAAAGGGAGCGGGAACCAAAAAAACCAGACACCAACTGTAGAAAATTCAAAAAAATCAAAATTTTCGGTGTTCAATGGGCTCAAAATCCTCAAAATCAGTTCAAAACCTCTCAAAAAGTAGCCAAAACTGACTACGAAAATTGAGCTTCAACGGCTATGCCAGATATAGTAAAATATACAGGGTGTCCCAAAAAAAAACGACCCATCTGGCATTTCGCCGGGTTACCTCCAATCGGTCCCATCTTTGGGCCAGAGGTGTATCAGACCCTAAATAACAACAATCCTGACTTACAGCCCCATAGCTACAGTAGTTTTAAAGTTATAACGAAAATACTGTTTTTCCCGGAATTCTGAACAGTTTTTTCGGCTATCTTTTTGGACTTTGCATCGATTTGCATCGAGTTCCGGCTGTGAATCCCTAATTTCGCTTAAGAACTGGGGTAGTTTTGCGTTGTAAAAATCGCTTAAATCGAAGCTTATTTAATTAATTTTACTCTGGAAAAAAATTTCTTACGGTAAAGAAGGCCTACCCGACCATTTTCACTTAATGTTTAGAAGGTCTAATTCCACGGAAACCCTGTGAAAAATGGAAAATAAAGTTGGTTTTTGCCATAACTCGAGAAATATTGTGGCTACCGGGCGATAAGTCAGGATTGTTGTTATTTAGGGCCTGATACACCTCTGGTCCAAATTTGGGACCGATTGGATGTAACACCGCGAAATGCCAGATGGGTCGTTTTTTTTGGGACACCTTGTATACCGAAATTCATGGAAAATTCGAGAAAAGTTCCGCAAATTTTCAGCTGTGGAAAACGGTCATACTCAGGAATTACTGGCTATAATAATAGAAGTTTACTAAGAAAAATAAGCGAGGGTTTAACATAAAAAATATTGAGAAAAATACTCGAAGGCCTAAAAAAAACCCGGCGGCTTCTCGGTAGCCATGCGAACCGTGGGTATCTATCCATCCAGAAACCGAGGGGAGCGCTCCACTTTTTCTTTTTTTTAGGATGGGCTTATCACTCCCCCCTGCTACCCCGTTGTCCACCCGTCCACATGTGATCATATAATGGGCAACAAGACGAGATAGCGTCAGCCGGCCCGAAATTGATTCGTTTTCCGGTGTGGGTTTCGGTGAAGCTGGCGCGTCTTTCTAGGCTTATCACTCCGGATTAGGAGTAATAAAACCCTCAGTCTATCGCTACGAACTACGCTCTATGGTTTCCGGACGGTTAAAACTAGCGAATCTCCAAAAATAAGCCCGGAGAGTTAAAATTCAAACGAGGTTTAAGATGTATGACACCGTTTTCAGACATCTAATTGTAAGTCGGAAGTGCGAAGCCAAAAAGCGTCCCCGTTTCTTTGGGAACATGGCGCCAAAACAACAATGACTAAGCGCTTCCGGAAACTGTGCTAATTGAAAAATATCAGTGTCGAAATTGACTTGGGAGAATTTCAAGCGATCGTGAGTGAGAGAGACAGAGAGAGAGAGAGTCCAGATTGAAAATACACTCACTCGACTCGTAGCAGTGATGGCATGCGTATCTCAGCGGGCGTCCGTCGCTCTCTCCGGCCTCGACTTCACTCTCGCTTGCGCTTGCGTAATCGTGGAGTTCGGTGGAGCCGGGTCGGGAGGATTTGTTGTTCGTCTAAAAATAGGTTTAAAAGTGGCACAATTTTCTCTCTCAGTCGCTCACTCTCACTCTCTCTCGCTCTCTCTCTCTCTCTCTCTCTCTCTCTCTCTCTGTCTCTAACCTTTGGTTTCCTCGCGATTTGTGTCTGATTCCTTGGCCTTCCAATAGCTTTCGGCTTTGTCGCGTCGGCTGTCTTCTTCCAGTGGTAGTAGAAGCTGACCAGTTGCTCCTGAAAAATACAATATAGAAAATTCTCTCGCGCTCTCTCTCCCTCCCCCCTTCTCTCTCTCTCTCTCTCTCTCTCTCTCTCTCTCGCCGCTCTCTCCCGATCTGCTAACCCCCTTTTGGCAACAATCCAATCCCCCCTCCAGCTCGCTCGCTCGCAACACAAATCGCAGTGGCCGGGCCGGCAATCGAATTTCGGTGTGGGGTGTATGCGTGCCCGGGGGGTCGCGAAACGAAATTGAGGCACACAGGAAACCGAGTTTGCCTCGACGCCCCATTTCCTGCTCTCGCGCCCTGGCCCTCCGGGGAAAAAGGGTTAGCGAGGATGGTTTAGACGGGGAGAGAGAGGCAGAGAGAGAGATAGAGAGAGAGACTACATCTACGAACATCCCCCAAAAAATCACTGCTAGCTGACCACTAACAAGCTCCAAATCACTCACCCTCTTGTACATCGGCAAGCATTCCCTGCCAATCTTCACAAAATTCTTCCCGTATGTCTTGATGCCCTTGCCGAACTTTTTGATGTCCTCCGGGGTCATATAGCCGAGGTCGGTCGCGAGAAGCCTGAAAAGATTGCATTCAATCCAAAAATCGAAATTTTCAGCTCTTTTAGCTCATGAAGTCCAGGTAAAAACCGACCTATCCTGCTCCTCCATGACGGTGACGGCCTTGAGGGTGTTGTACCCGTTCCGGTGTAACGTCTCGATGGCGTCGTTCGTCAGCTTGTCGCATAACCGGGCACGCTTCTCCGTTTCCGGAAGTGGGATGTGGCTGAGGGAGGTGTTGCGGAATGTTCTGGAAAAAGAGGGTTGAGAGGGAGGGAGAGTGAGAGAGAGATAGAGAGAGAGAGAGGGGGGGGAGGGTGAGAGAGAGGCGAGAGAGGGGAGAAAGAAAGAGAGCGAGAGCGAGAGAGAGCTAGAGAGCGAGAGACACCAAGCCCACCTGGCCAACTTGATATAGCACTCCTCGGTGTGGATGGGGATCTGGTCGGGGACGTAGAGCTGCTCATCTCGATCGGCATCTTCTGCTACAAAGCACGTCGGCACCGGCGGGAGTTTGGCCTGAAAAAATAGATGTTGCGAGTTAAGGTCATTTTTATATAAAAAATTTCGCAGTTGTCTAGACCTAGTGAAAAGTATTACATCGATTTTCCCACTTCCTAGCCCCTTTAAACATCTTTTTTGGCGTCCACCAGGTGCTGGGCATTTTTGGCCCGGTGCCGGTCCCGTCGCGAAAACTCGAATTTTGCGCTTCTGTGCCAACAGCGCGGCGGCGACGACGATTTCTATTTGCCCCATTCGGCAAAGCCATCATCGTGGGGCTGGTCAAATTGCCTTTTCAAGCAGGCAGCAAAACATACAAGAAAAGAGAGGTGTGGACAGAGCTTCGTTCAGCCCAAAAAAACCACAGGAAATTCTCGTGTAAACACCGAAAGTACAAGTGGGCGTTCGGAATGCGAAAAAAACCCGAAAATGTAGTAGTTTAAAGCCTAAAAAACCACCAAAAATAGAAAACTACAAACTACAAAATGTCGTGATAATTTGTAGTCCAGTATCAAAAAAAAATGGAGCCAAACCAGATCTGAACTTTGTAGTCTCTCGAATTAATGAAGCCAAAAATCGTGCTTTTGTAGCTTGTAGTTTAGGAAGAAGGGCCTTTTATAGTTTGTAGTTGTAGTTTAGGCTAAAAAACCATCCCGACCAAGAAATTAGATTTTTGAAGTTTGTAGCCGTAAAACTTGCAATTCGGAGTTTGTAGCTTGTAGTCTACAAAATTTCGCAAACAGAGAGAACTTGTAGTTTGTAGTTTATTAATACCATAGCTTGACCATTTTCAAAAATTAAAGATTCACCTGGTAGGCGCTGCCGACCCGGATCTCGCCCTGTATCGCAGCCAGCCTTCTCGTGTCCTGCAAAAAAGTGTTTAGATGGCTTGGGCAACGACTTCAAGCAGTTCAAAGCCTTTTGGGATAACTTGACTAAGTTTTGCAAACTCACGTTGTTATACGTCAAGCAGGAGACGAATACCGAGTCCTGGGTGAGGTCGGTGTCGCCCAGCGAGCGAAGGTCCCGCACGAACGAGACGCGGCACTTTCCTCTGAAAAACGCGGATTAAATTATGAATTTAAAAAAGCAAAAATGACCGAAATAAGTATATTAAACTATATATACTTCCAAAATCGACAAAAATCGAAAAACACCTAGAAAATTCCTGTTACTCGCTCCAAAAGCCGTTCCTGCTTAAATTCCAATTATGTGAAGTCGAAATTTAACTTTTTCGAATAAAAAATTAAATTTTAGGCTTAGAAACAACTAAAAATAATTTTTTGGGTGGGTTTTCGACGCGTAAAATGTAAAAATAGACGTATTTTTCAAGGTATAAAACGCTAGAAAATCAAAAATCTCGATGATTGCCATACTAAAAATAAAGACAATCTACGACTATCGTCAGACAATACGGCGAGATTTACAAGAGTTTTAAGGGAAAATCTGGGGATTTGTAGGTATCGGAAACCCTTTCCAATCTTGAAAATGGGAGGTTATCCGGGAAAATTGATGCCCACGTGAGTTGCAAAGCGTCGGAACGTGATAATTTCAGTTAATTATACCCCGTATTAAGCCCAAAAAGCGCCGAAAACCGAGCTAATTGGCAACGTTTTCTGGAGCCCGGAATTAACGCCTACGTTGCACTCCAAATTACCCTGGTTTTTCAGGGGTTTTTAGAGTCTAACTGACCACTTGATATTCAGTTGGCTACAGAAAAAGCGGTAAAAAATCACCTGCACAATTTGAAAAGTTGAGGAGTCTAATAAACAATGTAAATACATGAAAAAGCAGCCATCAAATTTACCGATTTTTTGTAATCAATTAAAATGTCGTAATCGGTTATGGAAGTCCATGAAAATCAATAAAAATCTTATTTCGTGGACAAAAGACTTAAAAGCCAAAATTGATGAAGAAAAAAGATGATATTTGTAAACCAGTTTAATTCTGAGGCGTTGGCAAGGCGCCAAAATTAAAAATCCACAAAAAACTTGGCTAGGCAGCTCCTTTAAAGCAAAAAAATCGGTCTCAAAAAGCCGAAAGATAGGCGCTCAAAAAGTTTTTGTCAGGCTCAGCAGCGCAGTTTTGGGCAGTCCGGAAGAAGAAGACGAATGGCGAGAGAGAGAGAGAGAGAGAGAGAGAGAGAGAGAGAGAGAGAGAGAGAGAGAGCGACTACGGCGCCGAGGGGCTCGTTTTGAGCCCGAGGAAGTGGCCAGTGGCCGGGGAGGGTGGTGTGGCCATTGATCGTTGGGGTGACGAAAAAGGAGGTAGTGGGGGAAGAAGTTACGAGGTTTTGGGCGAGAGAGATTGAAAGTGAGAGAGGGAGAGCCAGAGAGAAAGAGAGAGAGAGATGGCTAGAGAAACAGAGTAAAAAAGATGCTAAGAATCTGCAAGTTGAGCCGCCCAAGGCCACGCACAAACGTCCCGATACGCCTAGCCTCCTAACCCTGGAGGATGCAAAATAACTGCCCGCCGGAAATTTGAAAAAAGGCTCAATAGGCTATTATCGGTTTTTAATGGGGCTTAGAAAAACTATGTACACTGTGGCAAAAACTAACTGTTTAAAAAAATGCTTGTTTTGCGTTTGAGGATGGTCTTAAAAGGAGCTATTAAAAAGTATAAAAATTAAAATATATAGAAAAAACCCTCGGTTGAAATCGTAAAGCCAGAAATAACCCAAAAGTCTGCAAAAACAAAAAGCTACAAGGTCTCTTGGAAAATTGGAATAATTGATTAGCGTGTGAGTAATTCTCACACTTGCAAGAACAATGCAGAATTCATTAAAAAACAAGTCTGTTAATAGAATCATGAAAATGCAAAAATTTTGGTGTCCTTAAAACATACAAAATTCGTAGATTTTTAGATTTTCCAAAAAATGTTAAAAATCAATCGAGACAAATCTACTAAAACCCAAATAAACTAAGTAGATTTAAAATCTTAACAAAAGTACTATTAGATTACTCAGAAAAATAGTAGCATATTTAGGCCAACTTCACAAATGTTTGGCCGCCCGCCGAGAGGGGGGGCTTTGCGGATGGTAAAGGGCCGTAAAACCCGATGGCAAGCCACCAAGCAGAGGATGAGGGAAGGGACAGCGGAAAGTGATCGATCGAATAGAGCACACAGCTCTCTCTCTCTCTCTCTCTCTCTCTCTCTCTCGCGGCACACGGCTATGTGGACAGAGGGCACTCACTCACTCACTAAGCGACAAACAGACACACAAACATATTGGAAGGTGTGTAGAAGAGGCGAGAGAGAGAGAGAGAGAGAGGGAGAGAGCAATGGGCAACTTGCCAGTCGATCAGCCGATCGGCAAATGAAAGGGGAGGGCGATAAAGATAAAAGATCTATGCCTGTTTGGTTGACCTTCAAAAATTAGCAAAAAAGAGAGAGACAGAGCGAGAGAGAGAAAGAGAGAGAAAGCGAGAGAGCGAAAATCAAACCATTTTTGCTTGCAACAATTCTTAAAATAAACATTGGCCAATCGTGAGTCTGGAAAATTCCGGGGTGCCTAGAGTCTAGAGGAGCGATTGAGCAAGAGCTAGAGACAGAGAGAGAGACAGACAGACAGACAGAGAGAAACCCCTTGTCGGCAAGCGGCCAAAAAGCGCCTGGTGGCAAGGGTTTTTGGGGGAGGAATGGGCAAGGGGCGGCCTCGCGTTGACCAGTGGTTGACAGCCTGCTTCCTGCTCCGGGTGCTCGTGCTCTCGCTCACTCCCTCGCGCTTTCTCTCTCTCGCCTCCCAAAAACACGTGCTCTCTCCCCCTGCCGGCCATCTGGCCCCGGCCCACATAGCCGAGTCCCGTCACAAAGGCGGATCCGGTGACACACAGACACTGGCCCCCCGCAGGCAAATCCACACCGATTATTGCGGGGTAATGAATGGGGAGCAAGAGCTATAGAGAGAGAGGCAGAGAGAGAGAGAGAATGAGAAAGTTCGCTAAAAAGCCTATTTCAAGGCCAACGCGTTCCTTCAAAATTCACAGCCGTGTCGGTGAGGCGAGAAAAGTTGTTATTTCAGCCGTGTCGGTGTGCCTCACCCATTGGCCATTGGTAAATATTGGTCGAGGGGCTGTCGAGGGGGACTTGAGAGATGATGAGAGGGCAAGCTAGCAGAGATCATTTGGGAATGGAGGGGGCAGGCTAGCAGAGATCATTTGGGAATGGAAGGGGCAGGCTAGCAGAGATCATTTGGGAATGGAAGGGGCAGGCTAGCAGAGATCATTTGGGTATGGAAGGGGCAGGCTAGCAGAGATCATTTGGGAATGGAAGGGGCAGGCTAGCAGAGATCATTTGGGAATGGAAGGGGCAGGCTAGCAGAGATCATTTGGGAATGGAAGGGGCTGGGTAGCAGAGATCATTTGGGAATGGAAGGGGCAGGCTAGCAGAGATCATTTGGGAGAGGCGTCCGTTCATTTCCTCTGGACACTACACAAACACAGATGCAGCTGCTCCTGCTCCAATTCCAGCGAATGCCACTTGACACCCCCGACCAGGATTGGATGGCACGGCAAAAACGGGCGAATGTTGCCTACGGGCGAAATCTAAGCTGTTGCTAGTGTAGCCGGGCTTGCGGTCAGCTTACAGTCAGTTAGCGGGCTAGCAGAGATCATTTGTGGAAGGGGAAGGCTAGCAGGGATCATTTGAAAACCCAGGATTGTCAATATTAAAGTCACATAGAAGTGAAAACACCCAAAAACTCGGCAATTAAACCCGAAGATGGGCGATTCTGGGCGGGAAAAAGGGTGCCGGTGGGGGTTGTTCTCGATAACGATCTCTTTCGGGTGGATGGAAGAGACGACATCGGGTCGTAAAAAGGGCAGAAATGGACGCCCTGGTGGACACACTCACGCGGAAAATGTGAATGCAGAAGAGGCAGAGAGACAAACTGACAAACGGATAGATATAAATATAGATAGAGCGAGAGAGAGAGAGAGAGCTAGAGAGAGAGAGAGAGAGAGAGAGAGAGAGAGAACGAACGAAACACAACTACTGACACATCGATCTCTCGCCACAGCGGCTGACGAACAATAAACGGGCGGCCGACAATAAACCGGGCTGGGGGGCATGGAAGCTATATAGTAGCGCTGCGGAATGGGAGCGGTCTTAAAAACTAAATTTCAGCGTTTCTGGCGAGGTTCCAGGATGTGTGAAAATCCCTAATTTAAACTTTAAAGGGGCGTACGAGCTTGGAAAATCCATCCTAAACTCGAATATCGCAGGGAGAGAAACGAGAGAGAGCGAGACAGAGAAATAGCGAGAGTGAGAGAGAGCGAGCGCGATAGAGAGCGACCGTAATAAAACTGTTTATAAAGAACAAGAAGCGCGAAAATTCGTATTAAAGGTGCATTGAAGTTGAATCTCTACCAGAAAAACACCGATCCGGTTGAAATCACTCGTTATCCATCAATTCCCCCCCAATTTCCGGTGCCGACTGCGATTTTAAGTCGTTTTGTCTCCCTGGGGCGAAGAGTGTGTGTCCCATTGGGCCCTCCCCCCACCACTCCATCCCCTCCAAATAACAAATGGGCCCTCGAGGGGCCCATTTCCCCTCAAAAAAATTGAGAGCACAACGAAAAGCATTCCTTTTTGCCCGGGGCGCGTCGAAAATCGCCGATGCTCTGGCGGCGGGCGTTACCCGCTGATTTATGGGGTGCCTTCGGCGGGTATTTGAGGCCAGAGAAAGTGGACTTTTTGGACGTTGGCATTGGGTTTTTGAGGGGATTTTTTTGCGGTTTCAGGAGCTACCTGTCAAAATACGCACGGATTCCGGAATAGGAATTCCGCAAATGGAGGCTGCTAGCTTGCCCTAGGGGTGAAAATAGCAAACAATCACTGCTAGCTTGCCCCTGGGCAATAAAGCAATTAAGGCTCTAAGAAGGTTTTACTGAAAACGGCAAGAGGTCTCCGCTAGCTTGCCCTAGAGAGTGAAAACAGCAAAGAAACACTGCTAGCTTACCTTTACCATAAATACTAAAAAAAGCCCAGTTCTACCTTAAAAAATAGCAAAAGATCCATGCTAGCTTGCTTAGAGCGCAAAAATAGCAAAGGAACTTTGCTAGCTTGCCCTACGAAAATTCGCAAGGATTATTTGGAAAAAATATTCAAAAACGTCAAGAAACCCTGAGAAAAAGGCAAATCCGAATAGACAAAGTGCATGGCTGATGGTTGACCTCGCGTAATCCAGGATTTCCGCCTTTTTCACGTCTCTCTCTCTCTCTCTCGCTCTCTCTCTCTCTCTCTCTCTCTCTCTCTCTCTAATCCGCCATGCTTTGACGCTTTGATGTGGGGGGCTACTCGACTTTCAAGTGGATGGAGATCCCATCAAGTGGCCCATCCACCCGGAGAGCCCCCAGTCGTGTTCGAGGGGATCCGGAGGATGTGAGAGCCACAAAAAGAGGGTTCCCTTACTATTGTTCTCGGGTTTTAAAGGTACTAGCAAGCGCGAAAATCGATTGCTTCCATCGACTAGGTCTAGACAGTTATGCAAAACATCCAGATACGTATCAATCTCGATATTTTGGGGTGTCGCGTAGCTGTCGAGACCTAGTTAACTTAAGGGGCAGCTTCTAGCCCCTTCAAAGACGCTAGAATTGCGATTACTTGCGAATGGACCGACAGGCCAGCAGAGATCTTTAGGAATGGAAAGGGCAGGCTAGCAGAGATCATTTAGAAATGGAAGGGACAGGCTAGCAGAGCTCATTTGGGATTGGACCGGCTAGCAGAGACCATTGCAGATAAATTCTAACGCTTCCTAGCCCCTTTAAACCGTCAGTCATGCGTACAAAGTACGGAAACGGAACATTCAAACCCCCACGAGTAGAAAAAATAATGTAGGGGGCCAATTATGGCTTCGGCAAGGCCCAAGAATGGCAGTGTTGAGGGCCAAGAATAGGCAGGTAGAGAGGAGCGGATTAGGGGCGTGGGGGAAGGGGTTGACGAGGTATTGCGCGGAGCCTCGTGGACCAGATGAAAACCCTATACTTAAATCGGGGCGGTGACATCGTAGGGGGGAGAGATATAGACTCATTTGAGTACTCGAGAAAATGCTACATTCCTTTGCAAAGGGCCTGTGGAATGCGGCAAAAAAATTGGAAAATATCGAAAAAGACTCGGTTTGAAATCTTTGTAAAAAACTAACTTTTAAGGGGCCCAGAAGCCAAATCTACGGTTTTGAAGCGCTAGAAAAACAAAGTTTTTGAGGGCTTTCGAAGTCAAGTTCCTCTTTGAAGGCAATATAAAGGTAAAAATCGCGTTTTCAAAATCAGCAAACGCATTTTAAGCGCAAAAAACGTACTTTTAGGAAGCTCCAATCGAGAATTAAGCAGGAGCACAGTACTGAATCCGCTATATACTCGTTTTCCTTAGCACTCGACTCTATATCTCTTTCTCTTTCTCACCACCTCACACCCCCAAAATATTCACGAGTCTTTTGCGCTGAATTTGTTAGGAAATAGCCAGGGCCGGCTGTCGGCCCGCCGAATAGGGGGGATCCCCCCTCAAAAATGCACGACCATCGGCCATTATTCAGGAGGGAGGGGGAAGAGGGTGGTCGGCTAGCCACCTGGGTCCGAGCTTTTCGGGTCGTTCGGGGTGAAAGTCAAAGGGTAAGAAGTAAAGTATCGGAAATACACGGAAATCTCAAAAAAAATCAGAGCGAAAGGTATTGTGAAATCAGAATTTTGTCCCAAATACCCTGGATCTCGAAAAGAAAGCATTAGCGCATCCGAAAATCCCTCTCTCCATCTCGCTCCCTTTCTCTCTCTCTCTCTCTGCTCTGCTCTCTCTCACCTCATCAGCTAGACACAATTTTTTAAAATTTTTCTACTTATTTGGGAGAATCTAAATTTCGGCGAACAGCTGAACGCCAAGCGAGAGGGCGAGAGAGAGAGTGAGAGAGAGAAAGAGAGAGAGAGATACGGCCAGAGAGTGAGAGAGTGCGAGAGAGCTCCAGAAAAAGCCGAAAATTCTGTATGCCCCTCGGAAAAGCTGGGCATTATTCAGGGCATGGTGGGGCGGGCGGCCACCACCGGAAGTGCCAAAGAAGTGGTGGTTGGCGTTTTTCGTGCCCTCGGGCTATTGAGCGAGGAGGCCAAAGGGGGGAATATAGGATCAGTTTACGGAAGTGGTAGAGGAACAACAGCAAGCTGGTGACTATAGGTGTATCCCGGAAAAATGGGGTAAAAACCATAAAAAACTCTACAAAGCTTCAAAAATCAATGGAAAAATTTCGTCACTAGCAAAAAAAGGCAAATATATCTAGAAATTTCCCTAAATATTTTTAGAGATCGTATAATAGTAGTATATTATCCGAATAATAGTATAATCGTTTGAAAAAGGCGGTAAAAAGGCCTGGAGCGAGTTATAAAAATGCAAAAATTCATAAAAGCGGCTAAATTACGAAATTAATAGAAATTCAAACAATCAAACAAAAATTCGCAAAAACCTCACCTTAATGCGCCGACGGCGTGCGTCTGCGAGCTCTCCGACGAGAAGACTTCCCGTTGGTGGGCCTGCTCCAGCTGGTCGAGCTGCTCCTGCTCGATCTCGAGCTCGGACCGCTCTTGGAGGATCAGGGAGAGGGAGTCCTGGAAAAGTGACTTTTGCCAGTAGTCTTAAAAACGCCCAAGGCTGCTTTTAAAGGAACTATGAAGCACCAAAATCGACTCCTTCCCTTCACTAGGTCTAGACACCTATGCGACACTCCAAAATGCACATGTAATCGTTAAATTTCTGCGACGTCGCTATGCTGACGATATCGCGATCAGCTAGATCGAAATCTTCTTAAAAAATCGCCAAAAGAGACGTATATTGGAGCGTGGCGTAACAGTCTAGACCTAGTAGATGCAAAGGGTCAATTTCCGCGCTTTCGTATCCCTTTAACCCAGATATTCCGCCAAAAAAAATTATTATTGGGCCACGTTTTTTCTATAATAAACAAAAAATGTTTTGTTGATTCTCGCCGCCGACGCCTTCATATTTTTTACACAATCCATTAGCGAGAGTGAGAGAGAGAGAGAGAGAGAGAGCGAGCGAGATCGCGAGAGAGAGGGAGGGTGCAAGAGAGAGAACGATAGAAACAGCAAAAATGGCACGTCTGGAGCGCGTTTTGATGAGTCAGTTTTGCCGACCGGCGAAGGCGGCGAGCTGTCATCTTAGGAAACGGGCCAAAAAACGTATTTCGCTTGGCATTTCGTACTATCCGCACATTCCAGTAAATAAATGAAGAATAGAAAAAATAAAAATACGAAAAATGGAGCATAAACTGTACCTCCGGCACATCGTCGGGTCGGTAGAAGCGGTGGAGTTTGACGCTCAGCTGGTCGCGCTTGTTCTGAAAATGAGACATAAATGGGTTGACTGTATCATAATTTAAACAATCGGCTTTTGAGCTTGTCTAGCTTGGCTTGAACGACTTGGTGACGTCGTCGCCAAGAAGATGTGATAGCAAGCTAGCAGAGATGCTTTAGGAACTCCCAAAAGTCCCCCATGCCCATTTCCGCGTGTCCCCAAACTCACTACCCCATTTTTGACGCCGCGCGTGCGGATTGCTAGAAAGTCAGAGAGAGAGAGAGAGAGAGAGAGAGAGAGAGAGAGAGAGAAAGAGATCCATTTCCCCCTCCCCGCAACTTGATAGCCCATAAATAAGGCGAGTGGATGGCCGGCTGCTGGTTGTTGTGGGGCTAGACAGCCAAAGGGTGTATGTCATGATTCAAGGGCCATTGAAGCCACATTAAAGGGACGGTGACAGAAGGGCAGGCTAGCAGAGATCATTTCGGAATTGCCGTTTAAGTTGCCGACCCCTTTGATGAGTTGCTATCTATCTCCAGATTTGTCTCAATACCCCAGTGGTCAATGTCAACCCGCTGGACGCGTCGATTGGCCCGGGTGAGGAGTGTCGATTGGATGAGCTGAAGGGGGTCCCCTCGACTGTGCAAACATTCACACCCAACCACACCACTGCCTCACAGCCGTTCTGTTTTGTGGATGTGGAGTGAGGCTGGCTGGCAAACAGTTCAACAAGGATCAGTTGCAAATGATCTCTGCTAGCCTGCCCCTTCCATTCCCAAATGATCTCTGCTAGCCTGCCCCTTCCATTCCCAAATGATCTCTGCTAGCCTGCACCTTCTATTTCCAAATGATCTCTGCTAGCCTGCCCCTTCCATTCCCAAATGATCTCTGCTAGCCTGCCCCTTCCATTCCCAAATGATCTCTGCTAGCCTGCCCCTTCCATTCCCAAATGATCTCTGCTAGCCTGCCCCTTCCATTCCCAAATGATCTCTGCTAGCCTGCCCCTTCCATTCCCAAATGATCTCTGCTAGCCTGCCCCTTCCATTCCCAAATGATCTCTGCTAGCCTGCCCCTTCCATTCCCAAATGATCGCTGCTAGTTTTGCTCCAATTTCCAGTCAACCCCTCTTCCCAAATTCACACCCGTTGTCCACTCGCCAGTTAGTTAGGCGAGAGAGAGCGAGAGAGAGAGAGAGAGATATTGGGATGTGTGTAGGCAATGGGTCAGCAGATGGTCGTTCTCCTTTCTCCTCCTCAGCCTACCCTAAGGATATGAGTGCCCCGGGGGCACATAGCCGACAGCACTGACCGCCGCGCGAGAACGGCACCATTTACAATCCCCCCTCCCCCGGCCCATTGTCTCATCTAGTGGATGAGGAGCAGCTTAGCATTTAGCTTGTCGGCGTCTTTTAAAGCAACTGGGAAGTGCGAGAAGCGATCCCTTTAATCGACTAGGTCTAGACAGCTACGCGACACTCCGCTAGTTTGTTAGTGCTAGCAAAGTAGCATCCTACTATATATAAAAAAAATAGTGGCTGTGTGTGTGCATTTGCATGCAACTTCCGTGAGGTTGTCTCTCACCTACAGCCTCAGGGGAAGGTTTTTAGGGTACGTATGATACGTCATTAGGTGCGTAATGGTGCCGAGATGAGTGCACACATATCAAAGCTTTGAAAAATTACTGTTTTCGCAATTAAAATTGGGTTTTTGTCAAGATATCGGAAAATCTCTTTGTTAGGAGCCATTTTGCATGCACCGGAAGTGGGGAAAGCCTATATAAGGCGGTAGAAGGGTCATTTTCCTTTTTTTTGAAATCAAGGTTCGGGAAGAAATATGTGTGCGTTAGACGGGGCCAGGGTTGAAAAGCCGCGAAGCGGTTTTTCAACCCTGGTAATTAACTAAGCTTTTAGCTTTCTTCGCTTTTTCGCGAGGCGTGCAGCTGTCTAGACCTAGTCGATGAAGAGGGTCAACTGAGGCGCTTTCTGCCTCTTTAAAGGGCCATGTAAGGCAAGATTCCAAAAAAATCTTACATCTTGCTTGGCCCCTTTAAAGGTGAACGAACAGCGAAAAAATTTGCCTTCCATGTCTCTTGAAACCCAGAATAGATCTAAAAATAGGCGAAAATCTGGCAATGAGCACATCCGCCTTATCTTCTTCTTCTCGGGAATAAGTTCCCGGTCCCTCTCCCATGAAATTCCGCTTCTTTCCTCCTTGCCGAACCCGCGTTTTTTTGCTTAAAAGGCGTTGCTCGGGAGGAAGAGGAAATCGAGGCGTCTTGAGAGAGAGAGAGAGAGAGCTAGAGAGAGAGAGCTAGAGAGAGAGAGAGAGAGAGAGAGAGAGAGCACCGGTCAGCCTCGAATACACCCACAGAGTCGACAATGGGCCGCCGGCGCCTGAAGGCTGTTTTCCGGGGTTCTGGGCCTCTTTTTGGGGCTCCTTTTTGCCAGGGGTTTCTTAGAAACCTGAGAGCCGCCAGGCGGAATGAATTAAGTAGGGCATACGTTAGGGGGAGCAGGCGGTTTGGCACGGATTTCGGATTTGCATATGACGGGGCGTTCGACGACCCGAAAAACGGCACTAGCGTGAAAACTACGCAAAACACCAAATTTCATGGTAATTTCGCAAAAAATACAAAAATTTTTTGGCTGCAAAATCCCTTTAAAAGACGTCAGGCTTTGGAAACCTCCGACAAGGCGAATATGACTTATACCACCCTTTAGAGTGAATTTTACGTTATTTATGGCTATCCAAATCTTTCTGCGCTCAATATAATTGATGTTTTGGCGTCACAGCCCACTAAATCTCTCTCTCTCTCTCTCTCTCTCTCTCTTTCTCTCGCTCTCTCTCTCGTTCTCTCTCTCGTTCTCTCACTCTCGCTCTCCCTCTTTCTATCTCGCTCTCTGTATCTGGTCAGCTTTCACTTGCAAAACCCTTTAAGCTCATACTACAAGCTTCAACAACCCTAAAAAGTATCATGCTCAACTAGTCCGAGTCCGACTCCCCAGATTTCACTGCTCACCCCCGATTCTTCAATTTTGGCGGGCGGGGGCAAGGCCCAGAGCTCGCGCCGCGGACCCGGGAAATAAATTAGGTGGGCACAAATGGGCCATCTGGGTGAGGAGGAGGAGGCGAGAGAGAGAGAGAGAGCGAGAGAGTGAGAGAGAGAAGGATGAGTTGAACCAGGCCATCGACATACATACAACGACCCGTTGGCCGCCTGGTCGGCCATCAACCATAAATCTTTGGGGTTTTTGCGGGTCGTGTGGTGTGGCGGGTGTGTGGAACAAATTGGCTTGAATTTAGAGAGGGAAATAGTTTGGGGCTACTGGGGTATTTTCAGGTTTAAAGAGGCTGAGAAGTCAAAAATTTAACGCTCACGAAGCTTCGGAACTAAAGTTGGCGCTTTAAAGGGGCTGGGAAATGAAAAATTCCGATCGTAGAGTCGATTTTGAAGCATTAATCACGGAATCTTGGTTCAAAGACGCCGAGGCTGGGCAAGCTAGCAGCAATTTTTGAGGAGGAGATATCCTAGAAGTTGCGCTATAGTCAAAAATCTACTCGTTGCCGCGTGCAAACTAGCAGGGTTGCTTGAGGTTCGAGTTCAGAGAGAATCCGGCTACCTAGATCAACGGTGAGCCAGGGCTGGCTAGCAGAGATGCCCTAGGAAAGCGAACCAAGCTCGAGCTCTGGCAGGCTAGCAAAGATCTTTTAGGAAGTCGAAGGAGATGCGCGCCCGGGGGCATCGAGCAGAGACCCTTGCGGAAACTCTAGAGCAAGCGCTTTTCACATGTCTGTTTCTAGGCCAGCTAGCAGAGATTCTTCGTGAAAGGGAGACCAAGGCAGCTAGCGGAGACCTTTGAGGAAAAGCCATAGAAACATATTTTAAAAGTTGTATTTCCAACCCAGCTAGCAGAGATCGTTTCGGAATCGGCATTCTCGGCCAGCTTGCAGAGATTCCTCAGGAAGCAGGCAGCGCGCAGGCTAGCAAAGATTCTGCCAGAAACTACCCGAAATTCACTACTTTCTTGCTCATTCCCCATTTTTTATGTTGGTGAACAAATTTCTTTCTCCCCACACAATTGGTTAGTGAAGAAAAGACATGCGGCCGGCCGGTCGACCAGCTGATAAGCAGCAGCACACAATCTCCCATGGCTGTCAAACACCTTGGCTCCTCCAGCCAGAAAGAGCAACGAGGTGACGAATGGTGATTTCCCGCCGGTTTTATGGGCTCCTGGGCAAGAGGGGGCAAATTTCCGGAATTTTTGGCGAAATATGGAGTGATTCATGGTGCTGATTAGCATATCGTAACGCTTGAAATCAGCAAAAATATACAATTGCTCATGAGACCTTTAAAGGGGCTAGGAAGTGGCAAAATCCACCACGCAAACCCACCCGGTCTAGGCAGAGTGAAAGCGACAGCGCTTTAATTGTTGCTTATTCTTAAGATCCATGAGCGTAAAGTACGATTTTAAAGAGGGTGGTACATCCAAATTCTACCCCTTCCATCGCCTAGGTCTTGACAGCTACGCGACACTCCAAATTACGCCGCCAGGCGCTGTCGGAGCCACCCTCTCAGGTGCCTATCAAGTCGATATTAACAAGTGTTTTGGAGTGTGGTATAGCAGTCTAGATCTAGTCCATAGCATGGGCCGGGTTTCACGCTTCCCAGTCACTTTAAAACGAATCTAATTCCAGATCCAACCGTCTTATATTTATTTTTAGCATGTCCCCTAACTTTTTCTCGCGATTCTTTGACCGGGGTTGTCGCCCAAATATTTCCCAGGTAATCCCCGGGGCACCCGGGAAGCGCAAAAAAAATACTGGGGGGCACACGCGCCCCCGAATAATCCACCCAGCCGGCGGGTACTAATCGCGCTGGCCAGTTTTGGGCGAGAGAGAGAGAGAGAGAGATAGCTAGTAAAATACGCTTGTTCTTTTGTTTTCCGCCTCCAAAACCACCTTTTTATGGGTTTGAATTTCTGGGTGGTGGATGTACCATCGGTTTTAATGGGGTTTGAGGAAATGAGGCAAGCTAGCAAAGATTCTCCAGGCACGGGAGAGTCAGCAGCGATTCCTGGGGAGCCACTTTTACGATCTAGCACGAGTTAGGCGAGCTAGCAGTGATTCTTTAGGAAGCCAGCGGCAGAAGAAGGGCCGGCTTGCAGAGATACTTTAGGAAACTCCAGCTTGTTAAGCTAGCAGAGATTTTTTAGGAAATCAAATACGACCTCATCGGCCTTTAGACTACAGCCCATTGCATTCCCCCCGAGCTAACCAACTTGTTTGCCCAGCCTTACCACACACATATATTTATACGAGGGCGCCTCATTTTTCCGAAGGTCTGAAAGGGGTGGCGAGAGAGAGCGAGAGAGAGAGAGGGAGAGAGAGAGAGAGAGATTTTTCGAAGCGCCCGTGTTCAACAGCTCGCCCCTCTTTTCGCTTCCTCCACTCGAGCGGGCGAGGGTGGCGCAAAAAGTTATTATCGCTTCGGGGGGTGCGGCGGAGGAGGCTAAGAAAAGAAGAAAAGAAAGTGGACGGATCCGCCTCGGGGGCTATTGGCTAGTTTCCCGAGTAGGTCGAGGTCTTGTCAGGTGGAATCGGGCGGAATTTGTGGGATTTTAGGGCGTGGATCTGGTCGTTGAAAGACCAGAAAATTATCTTCAAACTCTATATTTAAATGCGAAAGAGCGAGAGATAGAGAGAGAAAGAGAGAGAGAGAGAGAGAGAGAGTGAGAGTGAGGGGGTGAGACCGAGATATCCACCGCACGTTTGGCAAAAACAGGACACCGCTAATTTGCATAATCGGATTTTTCAAGGCGACTTAAAAAAGACTTATAAAAATCCTCAACCATCGAAAATTCCGTTAGACTCCTAACTACACCTACCGCAAAGAGGAACGAAACGGAAAATGGATACTAAAAAGGCGCAGCAGGGTAAATTAAAAGAGTTGGAGAGGGAGAGAGCGAGAGAGAGAAAGAGAAAACTAGGCAACACCTCTAAGATGTTCAAGCCAAGTAATTCAAGCCGTTCAGCCCAAAAAACTAAAACGCACCATTTTAAAGTGCTGTACCGTCCCAATCAAGTACGGCTCGGCTGCGCACGTTTCCACGTAGACGACATCCCCCTTGAAATACGAGGTGCCGTCGTGGGCGATGAAGCACTTCCAGTCGCCGCCCTTCGCGCTCCGGTACGCCTGGAAAATATAGTAAATGTACGATTATTCAGGTTCCGACACTTCAAGTTTCGTTCTTTTTTTCCATTCCATTTTCTCATCATTTTCCAATATCATACTTTTCACGCTTTTTCAGGGCAGGCTAGCAGAGAACCTTGGGGAAAGGATGGGGCAGGCTAGTAGAGATCATTTGGGAATTCAGGGGTCAGGCTAGCAGAGATCCATGAGGAAAACGCCCCATTTCAATCAGCCTCTCCAAATTGTTGCCGATCCCCGGGGCGGGGGTAAGCCTATGCGATTCGCTAATAATTAGGATGGTTGAGGGGGTGGGGACAGCCGTTCCCCGCCTGAAGAGAGAGAGAGAGAAAGGGAGAGGAGAGCGAGAGAGAGAGCCAAGACGGGCGCCGAATAGGGTTCCTCCTTGAGCCCTCATTATTCCATTTTGGGGGCGGCTGAAAGGAGAGAGAGAGAGAGAGAGAGAGAGAGAGAGAGGCGCTTGGCAATTGACTGACGGGTTTGTCGAAATGGGCAGCGTCGGTGCGTGGGAACGGGGAAATTGGGGGGAAACACTGACCGGGGAGATTAGTGAAATTTGGGGTGGTTTTAAAGGGGCGTTGAAGCGTGACTATTTTGGAGGTTCTCTGTCTCTCTCTCCTCTATATCTCTCAACAACACGCCTGAATTGCTGCTTTCTGCGTCAAAATTATCTTCTAAGGGTCTAACAAGTCGAATATCTAGTTTTTAAGCGGAAGGCTACAAACTACAGCCTCGAAAGTTACTAGAAAACTTCGGATTCTTCAAAAAAACCTTGTAAGCTTTCACCATTCATCTAGCTAAAAAATTTCGCTACGCTACAAACTACCTCAAGGACTAAATTCTTGTTTTCATCAGCTTTTTCTCAGCTTGAAAACTTTTCTCGGTCCCCTCCGGTTTGCCTCTTTATTGGGGTCGGTGTTTGGAGGAGGAGAGAAGGGCACATTGCGTGTGCCCCGCCATGTATAGAGGGGGATAGAGGTTGAAGAGGGCTGGTCAAATATTCGCTCCTCTCTCTCTCTCTCTCTCTCGCTCTCTCTGCCTCTTCCACCCCCAATCACTATGCAAATGTGCGCCATGTCACCGCTTCGCGAAACTGGGGGCGGGCGACACTCATCTACGCGGCGGGTTCCGCTCTCCCAAAATGGTCACACCCGAACGGGTGAGGTGAGGGTTTATGTGATTAGCATGGCAAATGGCGTTGGAATCTGGGGTTTAAAGGCACTGGAAAATGCGAAATCGACCCTCGCCTCAGCTAGGCCTAGACACCTACGCGACATCCGAAAGCCTAACGCTTGCAATAAAAACTACCAAATCAACACAAGCAAGATTTCAAACCAAAACCGCCTGTTTTAAAGGGACTCGGAAGTCCAAAAATAGCCCCTTCGAAGCCTAGGTCTAGTCAACTACACAGCACTCCAAAACTGCTGGTCAGCGGATTTGGATGTTGGCCAAATGTCACACCCTGGAAGCCGACAAAGCAGATTCAACACGTTATCTGGAGCATCGCGTAGTTGTCTAGACCTAGTCGACCAGATAAGTCGATTCTGGCGCTTTCCAATCTCTTCAATCGTCATCTACAAGAAGCACGGAATCAGCAAGGTAGCAGCGTTTTTAGAAAATTTCACAAATTTAGAAACCTGCAACAGAAATGTCATTTTCATCTGATTCTGATTCATTTCATCCGATTTCCGACCCCCGTCATTTTCAAGGGCCGGTTTTGAAAGTTCATCTTCCGTTCATTCAGATTCTTGGCCTTTTACTGAACTCACAGCTTTGCGGAGTAGTTGTCTAGACCCAATAGAACCCAGTGGTCGATTTTTAGACTTTCTAGCCCCTTCAAACGATTTTAAAAGCGACATGAAACCTTCGCAAATTCCAGCCCAAACCCCCATTTCGATACTTTCAGGTGAGGGGAAGAACCCAAGTAGCCCGGTACCCCCACAACCCGCGTGTCCACAGTAATAAATCGGAAGGAGAGATGGGGGGGAGCTGCTGTTCTGCGGGGTGGCCATAAAATGGGGCATGCTGTGGCGGGGGGCACGGATTAGCGAACGGGGTGGGAACAATGTTTTCGGGGGCCGCAGGAAAAATTGCGTGCTGTCTATGGTATGAGCGTACTGTAGTTAGTAAAATGAGCAGTTACTACCGTTTTCTCACCATTTTTAATCGCTTAAAGTACCGTACAAGGCACGTAGTTTGACTTGCCCGTCCCTTTAAAGGGGCATGGAAGGCAAGAATGGGTTTAGGCGTTAGTTAAAAATTCTCTCTCTCTCTCTCTCGCTTTCCCGCAACCCGCAAGTTTAACATAGCGTTCGTGTGGGCCAAATCGGGTATTCCGCGGGGGGAAATATGCTCGGCCAGGCGAAAACGGGGAAGTCTTTGCGCTTTTTCTAGTCAAAGAGAGAGAGAGACCGACAGACAGAAACAAGTGGCTGTCCCCCTCTCTCCGTGCGAACACACGCCTCAATTGCCCCACCCCACCACCACACCACTCTTTTTTGATGTGTCGCCCCCAGCAGGAGCCAAAGAGGCTTTTGGAAAAAAGGGGGAGCTAGGGCGGGGATGACAAACGGCTGCCCCTGGGGCTTCGTTTCTCGGATTCCCACGGAGTTTTAAGGTTGCGAGAGAGCGAGACAGTGAGAGAGAGAGAGAGAGAGAGAGAGAGAGAGAGCTCCAATATACTCAGATTTCAGGTGCCCAAATCAACAGCTGGCCTCATTCGGCTCATTTTACATCCAAGACAGGTGAAATTCGGGCCACAAATTGCAGGTGAAACCCACTTCCGGCCGTAAGAACTCTGGTTTTAAAGGGGCTAGAAGCACCAGAATCGACCCCTCCTTCGACTAGGTCTAGACAGCTACACGACATTTTGCTGGTTTTTAGCACGTTAAAAATGCTATTGAAATGCATTTCGGTGTGTCGCGTAACTGTCTAAACCTAGCGCAGCGGAGGGGTAGATTTTAGGCTTTATGATCCCTTTAAACTGACTTCAATAAAAATTAAATCCGCGGGCCACAAAATACAAAGTTCACCAGATGCAAAAATATCAGAAATTCCCCGGTTTCTCAGAAAATGACTAATATTTTTGTTAATTTCCGGAAGCCCCTAAAATCTCCGAAATTCGCTGAGCAAACCGGACAAAACTCGGGGATTTTTTGTCCACATTTTCCTCCTTATTCGGCGGACATTCCCAGCTGTCCAAACGGGCAAATGGCACATTTTTCGAGCCGATTCCCCCGCTAATTTCGATATGTAATTCCACGGCGGGTGTGTGTAATTTGGTTGCGGGCGGAAAGAGCATGCAATTAGGCCCTAAACCAATTTCTAAAGTAAGCCTAACTTTATGAAAAAATGCGATCTTTGCGTAATTGAGTAGTGTCGCGGAAAATACTCGAAAAATGACTTAGAAACTACGTAAAACAACGCAATTCCAAGCGTAATTAGGTAGTGAACGGAAAGAATTTGTCAAATCACGAGACCGAATTTAAATTATCTTTTTAAAACCCGCTGAAAAAGCGTAATTCAGTAATTAAATTTTTATCATTAATTCATGCCCCTTAAACTACTATAAAAATTCTCAATTCGCCGCAGGACCACCCGCACTTTCGTGTCACATTTTTCGAATTTCTCTGAGGATTTCTCTAGGATTCCGGGGGGATAATCGGGGCTCCCCGGGGGTGAGGCTCATTTTGTAGATTGCCCCGGATTAGCCGGGGGGATGCGATAGAAAAAGAAAGAAAAAAAGGTAGAGAAACATCCGCGATTATGCGGAAAAAGAGCGGATTAAAGCTCGGGATAAAAAGCCAATAATACTATTGGGTTTTCATGTAAAATGTTCACGACTAATTATACTTAAAATAACTCTAATTAAAAAAAATTTAGAGCTTCTAAAATTACAAATTCCGCCGAGATACGAAAACCAAAAGATCGGCTAGTAATCGAGTCTTGAACGCCCCGGGGAAGCCGAAAAGCCACCATGGATTCCACAAAGGATCACTGCCAGCATCCCCTTGCAAGTAGCTTCAGCAGACAAATTGGATTGTTTTTACCTCGCCGTCTCTTTCTCCATAAAATTTCTAAACTATTCAAGCCCTAACCCGAAAATATACTTTTTAACAGTCACATAAATAGCTTCTTTATTCCCCTTCCTTATATTTTTTGCTTCCGAATATTTTTTGCATAAATATTTACATGGTATCACCTTTCCCACAGGTGAATTATCCCCCCACACTTGAGTCGCCTGGGCGGGCGATAATCGACCCCCACTGGGGGCCAGGTGTTTAGGTGAGGTGACACGGCCGGATGCTTTGAGGTCACCGCCAAGGCGTACTTTGTAGCCCAGCGTAGTGGGGCGCCTTTATGGGGAGTCAGAGAGAGAGCGAGAGAGAGAGAGAGAGAGAGAGAACCCCCGGCGGCCACCCATCGACACTTGTGTTCTTTTCCCCTTCAACAAAAACGTTGAATGACCGGGCGCGACACCCTCTCTCCCAAGCGCTTCCCGGTGTTTCTCGGGGAGTAGCGGGCGAGAGAGAAAGAGAGAGAGAGAGAGAGAGAGAGAGAGAGAGAGAGAGGGAGAGAGAATTTGTGTCCGTATATTTGTGCAGCCCGTATGCTTCGGGGTGATCCCCCCGGCGCGGCTTTTGGCTGTGCGTGTCTGGCGCTAGACTATGCGTTGGAACATGGGAATTCAAAGCATTTTAATGGGATTTTTCCGGGCAGGCTAGCAGAGATCATTTGGGAAAGTATTATCACCGAGCGAGGCCAGCCATTAGAAGCCATTTTGAAGACCTGCCGAACTTCTGGTATATACCAGGCTAGCGCAAGCTAGCAGAGATTTTTGTGGATTCCAAAGCTCCTTGGAAGCCCCTCGAATCCGAACATTTAGGGTCAGCCGTGTTTAGTTTGGCTAGGTCATCAGGCAAGCTAGCATAGATTCTTTGAGGAATCGAACCCATCTCTGATGATCTACAGGTTCTCTATCATGTTTTCCGGGTCGTCAAGCAATCTAGCAGAGATCCTTTGCGGAATCCGGCTCCACCCCTGAGATGATCTACAAGATCCCTGTTTCAGGTCGGCAGGCAAGCTAGCAGAAAACCTTTGCTGAATTCGTACTTTCACGAAATCATGGATTCTAGATTCCAGGCAAGCTAGCAAACACCCTTTCCGGAAACCCACAAAAACCACCTCCAAAAATTTCCAGACAGCCCCCGATATTCGGCTCCTTATCTAGCCAGCAGCCCTAGCCCTGGGCAGCCATTCACAAGGAGATGGGCCCGGTGCCGAGAAGAGGAGGCCAGGAAGCGCGTGTCTTTTCGCCTTCAATGCCCGCCCAAAAAAGGCGGGGACGGCTCCACGGAAAAAGCTCGTCGAAGAAGCGGGGTGACACCGGCCATGTGTGTGTGCCCTCAGGCTACGCACCACACCTCCTAACACCGCACAACAATATCCTCCTGCCTAGCCCTGTGGGCACAATGGGGACGCCTCGAAGCCGGGGGAGGTGGCCAAAAACAAGGTGTGTGTGCCACCCCACCCCGCCCGGCTCCTGGAAATGACTCTTTATGCGGGGAGAAGCCGCCGTAAGGAAGAACGGCTCGAAATGGCCGCTTGGACTACGGGGGAGAACGTAAATAGTAGTGGAGCGTTGTCGTAAACAGGGCTAATCAGCCGCATTCACGCAGTAGTCCAGGGTAATCTCGACAAAATGAACGGCCTTAGATAGTTTAGAAAAGCGACTTCAAGGAGTTCAACCAGTAAAAATGCACTTTTGAACGAGGTCTTAGAACAGCTAA